CAAGGACTCGTAAAAAATTTCTCCGGTCTCCTCGCAACCCGTTTCTTCCTCGGTCTATTCGAAGCCGGTATGTTTCCAGGTTGTTTCTACCTCATTGGTATGTGGTACAAACGATCTGAAGCTCAACGTCGCTACTCATTTTTCTTCAGTAGCACCACATTAGCTGGAGCATTCGGAGGTCTTCTCGCTTCCGGTATTGGAAAAATGGACGGCTTGAGAGGATATTCTGGTTGGCGTTGGATTTTTATCATCGAAGGAGTCCTTACCTGCGTTGTCGCTCTATCATTTTTCTTCCTCATTCCCTCATTCCCAGAAGATGCAAAATGGCTCACTCCGGACGAAAGAGCATACGTAAAAGCCCGTCTCCAAGTCGACCAAGGAAGAAGCGCAGCAGAGCGTAAAATTACTTTCAAAGACGCATGCAGGGTCTTCAAAGACTACAAAGTCATCCTCGGAGGCTTCATGTATTTCGGCATGATCATCCCAGCCTACGGATACGCATTTTTCGCCCCGGGTATCATCTCCACTTACGGCTACTCCCCAATCCAAACACAACTCCACAGTGTACCTCCATGGGCGTGCGCATTTGCATTCGCAATGTGCATTGCTTTCGCATCGGATTTCACACGTCACCGATTCGCATTCACCATCGCGCCGATTTGTGTTGCAATCACCGGTTTCGCTATCCTCCTCACCGTTCACGATAACCCAAAACTTCAATACGCCGCGCTTTTCCTCGTCGCGATGGGTGCGTACTCCGCCATGCCAGTTATAGTCTGTTGGTTCAACATGAATCTCGGCGGTCATCATCGTCGTAGCGTGGGCACGGCCTGGCAAGTCGGATTCGGTAATGTAGGAGGAATTATCGCTACCTATGCTTTCCTTGCGAAAGACGCCCCGGAGTACAGAACGGGATATGGAATCTGTTTGGGATTCTTGTGTTTGAGCGCGATGTCGTGTTTGCTTTATTTCATGGCGGTCATGTTTGAGAATCGCCAGAGGGAGAGGAGACCCAGGGATTTGGGGCTCACGGAGTATGAGAAGACGGAGTTGGGAGATTTGAGCCCCGATTATAGGTACTTGTTGTAAGGGGGTGGGTAGTTATGATAATGATGATGATGGACGTTGGAGAAATGGAAACGAGGTCAAAATAAGAAAGTGGATTAATGGGCAATGTAATGAAATGAAAGAATATGATATGATAGTATACGAATCGGCATGTATAGCACAGAACGATCGATATCAAAAGTTAATGGTTGGAAAACCCTGGATTTAGTTTAGTATGAAGGGTGGAGAGGGTATCTAGTTGATTATGGGTACATGAGTAATGAAATGAACACACCATCTTTCGAATATCTTGCATCTTGTGTGTAGATACATTGGCTTTTGTGAGAAGGGGAGCGGGGGCTGGACATTCTGGAATATAAAGAGATAGATAAAGATACAACCCTGGATACTAATATACGACACATTCAGATCCGATTGAGCTGAGCTTGTATGATAGATAAGTTGAGTACTTTTTGTAAGGAGCTCTGAACTTCAAAGTCAGTGGGTGGGAGTGGGAGTGGGAGTGGGAGTGGGAGTGAGAGTGGGAAATGGAAATACGGAAGGAGGAAAGGAGAATAGGTGGGAAATGGGAGAATCGAGGAGAGGAACACGAGACCAAGAAATTAAAAAACACATTAGAATATAGGAAGGGAGATTGTAATGTGGATGAGATGAGATGAGATGTGATGTGATGTGATGCGATTTGGGGACGATTTAATATAGTTGGAGAGGATTGGGAGGGGGCGAGGAAACAGTGGATTTGAGATTGAGGTTGAGGTTGCTTTGGAGAGGTGGAGAGGAGGAGATGATAGTTATAGATGCGGAGGTTAGAATGCAGGATGGAGGTGAAAGTCTTGAATTGAAGGGTACTTAGAAAGGGGGAGAGTGAGTCTTTGATGAAGTGTGATGTATCATACTTGGGATGTGTATTTGGATACTTAAATTTAGGTACTTGTAGGGGAAATTATAAATCTAGTGGAGAAACTGGATGCTGGATAGGATGAGCTCGGAGAACGCGTTTGGAAAGGTGGGAGATTTCTTGGGTAGAGAAGGGATAGAAATGGGGAGGGTATGACGAGATAGTCGTGAAAGGATCGAACTTGCCCGGATCTCCTGATTGAGATTTGAAGTTCACGTGTACAAGTGCTGGTTTGTGGATTCGAGGCAGAGGAGAGCCAAGATGCAAAAGTGGAACACATTTACTTGTAGATATCCCATTTTACACTACCTAATAAGTATACCAGCTCTCACTGTCCTCAGAGGATTGAAGACTCTATAGGCACAAGTTTAACAGAAGATAGCGAGGCAGAGATATCACATTCGACGGATGATCATTCCAAATGCCACGATACCAGTACCCAATCCTACAAAAATCTGCTTGTCGATTCTAGAGAGCTACTTTGAGCGACTATGAAGATTCTAATTGAGATTGAGATTATATTTATGTTTATATTTATGTATCAATCTGAGTGATCTATCACGAGTTTTCATTGACAACAGGTTTGCGCTTCAGGAGTACGTCATCCTGCGCGGTTATTATTGCTGTTATTGGAAACTAGATATATTTTATTTGGTTTATTTTTTGAGAGATAGGATTAAGGAAAAGATAACGATTTATTTTTAAAGCCTTCTAGGATTCTTACGTGTTTATTGTTGTGAGTATTGAGGGGTGAAGGAGTTGGTTCACCATTGGTTGTGGATGTAGGATGGGCAGAGTGATTGAGATGAGAGACTGACCGCATGATCGAGCGTAGAGAATGATTTTATTCTACTCGATATTTGCTGTTGTTGCTCATATAGCTTTCGTAGTGTGTTTGGTTCCCAGATCTTGCAAAGTCAAATTCAATCATATCGTGTGTAGAGTTCGAATCTTAGCTTGTGACATGACTGCATCAATAATTGGCCAAATTCCAGGTCGTCCGGTACGTTATGCCGGGCAATAGTCAAATTAGATTTTGCTTGGGATACCGAGACATATAGGGCCATGATTGCCGGTATGGATGTTCAATCGAAAAGCTAAAGTGCCGGTGGTGAGCATAAAATTGGACCGAACTGAAGTGGTGCATTTAGGTGTATTGATTGAAATATGATCGTTTTTTGATCCATAATCTTATAGGCTAACCTGGCTTACGCATTTCAAACCTCGATGATTACATGGGTTGAATATGTAGCGTATTGCCAGTATACATGAGTTTGGAAGGGTAGGTAGGTAGTCACCGTAACAAGACCAATACCCGGGTAGGGTACATGTGCTTAGTCCTGGTCTGCAAATCGTTTCTCTCTATTAGTTGAATTCCTATGATATTGAATATAGTGGGAAGAAGCATTAAGTCTGATTTCCTCTTGATGCACCCCCTACTATCAGCGGAATCGTAGCTCACGATCCTTCATGATCTTGAATTCAGGGTCCAAGTTCTTCTTGGGGTTATTGGCTCTCTCAAAGCTGCCCAAATACTTATTGACATCTAGAATGATCCCTTCCTTACATAAGTCTAAACTCTACTGCCTTTTTGCCATGATCTCTAGGACATCTGAGGTGGTAGATTTGATATAAGAATTCTTAAATCGCGAGGCTAAGAACCTACAATCTCGAGTTGGAGGTGGAAGGCGAACGATGAACAGAGGAGGACTTTCCAGAGGTACTCTAAAATGTATCCTGAATTTATAAAGTCGATGAAAGTGACTAGTGAGAGAAGTGAAGAGGAAAAAAATCTTGGATATCACTGATCTGAAATACAGCAGACTGTGTATACCTCACTGCTGCATAATGCTTAGACAACGATAAGGCTTTGATGTGATATGATATCCAGCACGTTTCTAAAACAACAGCAGGATATTAAGCGCTTCATATTGTGGGAAGTAGTCACACCATATTGGCCAAAGTATTCTGCGTGGATATCATGCAGTAATAAAACGGTTTCTTATGGTCAATTTAGACAATATGTAGATATACAGCCAGTTAGCGTCATTCTTTCGTCCTTCTGTACATACAGGGCTTTCTCCCACGCAGATTCGAAATATAGGTCACTTACCCTTCGTATTGTTTTAGCTCCATATTCAACATTTCATATGCTACTACTGACAAGAGTGTGTGAAAATACTAGCAAGGAACACCATAGAGGTCAGTTATAGCCTCGAATATACTGGAATAGTATCTTTATGCGGCCTCTTCGATATCCCTTTCACCAATTATCCCATTATTGTCTCTCTTGTTTTCAATCCTATCAGCCCTCCTGGATCATATATCTGTCCATCTTATCCCATCATTGTATGCGGAGAATCGATGTAACAGGTTGGCAAATGAATCTTTAGAGTAGTATCAAATCTAGATTGAAATATAAGAACAATCCTAATTTAGATACCTTCATCCTCGTTTCTCACTCGTCCAATTTTTTCCCTCGCCAGGCTATAATCTATCGATGACTTTTAAATCTGGATTTTTATTTCCTGCCTTAACTTTGAGTTGAGTTGACCTATTTCCCAATTAACTACATAATATTGTGTATAATACAAGGTATTTGGAACGGGTCTTTACGCGTCGCGACCAAGTTGAGTGGTTGAAGTGAATTTTTATGTTTGAAAAGATCAGACGAGATAGGGGGGTCCAATGAATCCTCGCTTCTTTCTTAGCGTGTAAAATCCAGAATACAAACGAAACCTTCCAGATTTCAATTTTAACCCTGAACCTCTGCTTTCCGACAATTTCGAAACACGTGCTGACGTCTCATTCGACTCCTCTATCAACAATATCTACATGAAAATGGCGGGAAAAAAAGCAGAGGCAAAAGAAAGTCATAAAATTTGAGGACATAAAGTATGCGCGGGGAGAGAAGACTGGCAAAAAGAAGACGCAGAGAACGAGAAATTCCTCACCTCTACCATTACCACCACGAGCAATCCTTAAAACCGACGATGGAGATGTCTATAAAATCTGTGTAATGTTCCTGCCACAGATGCAGAGAATCGTCGAAACAGGAATCGTTCCTTGCGACGGAATCGTTCAGCAAACACTACGTGGGTTCTTATGTGGACATGGTATAGTACCTGCACTGAGAGAATTGGCTTCAAAAGACGATTATGAGCCACGTGCAAGACCTCATCCAAAGGATACTGGTAGTAAGAAACTTACAACTGCTCTTGTGGAGCTTTTCAAAGAGAATGCGCTTCTGGGAGAGGGAATGGACTTTTGCCACAGTCTCCAAGATCCAGAAAAGGAGAAAGCTTTGCGCATTGAATTTGTTCCGGGGTAAGTCTACAATAACTTGTGGTTCTGAGGCCTAACACCAAAATCTACTGGAAAGAACCGACACTTGAGTTCAGCAGCAGCAACGTTCTGGTCCAACTGCCTTTGAAGGAGAGGGATGTCTTCTTTATGGAGAGCCAAGGAACAGACGATCGGCCATATCTTACGCAGGACAATTTTCCCGATCACATCGGAATTCCTGAAGATGTCTTACTTGAAGCTTGTCCTTTCATACGCTCGGCATTCGGCGCAAAGGATATTGGCAAATTTGTCTACCCTGATGATACTTGCCTGTACGACCCCGCGTACACATCAAACCGAAAGAGATGCATTCGTGACACCGAACTCGTATATATCGCTGATCTGATCGCTTCATCCTATGGGCGTACCGCACAGCATTATCATTCCTTGAGCGATTTAAAACAGATTGATAGCTGGCCAAAGGAGAAATTGTGGGAGCATACTAAATCGTGGGCTATATTTTTAAGAGAGAACCACTTCAGTGAGCGCATATCATCAAATGACGAGCTCGATGAACTATGTATGCTTGCTGCCTTTTTCGAGGCTAAAAATAATGCAACCACCGCTTTAAGGAATGTGTAACAGGCTCAGAAGGAAAGGTTGATTAGAGAGAAGACGCATCTGAGACCTGCATTGCTACCAAAAATAGAGCCCGAGAGAAAGAAATTGTCCCCTGAGAGAGTTGTTCGACAGTGCGACTGTGACACGAATGAACCGTGTAATGATATGGTCGGTACTACCGGTTGGCGCAGTCGAGATGACTGAATTCCGGGTTCTTATTGGGTTACATTATTGTTGCAACTATTTTGGCATAATGATGTTAAGTTTAGGGCTCAGTTATTGCGATGTCTTGCATCATAAGTCAGCGTTGAGCTGCTGGTGTAAAAATATGCATTGGTTCTGTTGTTTGGCCAATACATTGGGGAGCTCAAGGAACAGTGTCGTGTTTGGTTCTATCTGAGGTATGCGAAAGATCTAAACTACAAAAGAGCACTGAATGAATTGAATATCTGGTTTGGCGTTTGGGCATAAGGAGAAATAAAGATACCAAAGATTGCTGGAAGGAGTTAAAATTGGCTTGGCTTTGAGATATGAACAACGTAAAGGGCAATAGAGAGCGTAGAAAGGGGTTGTGAATCTCAATTTTGCTTGAAGAAATGAAAGGACTGGAAAGTTTGATGTATTCTCAAAAATATCGAATGTTTAGTTTTGACGAGGCATTGAAAAGCAGCTTTAGGGGTTGCACAAATGCCTCCTCGATCACAGATACTAAAAGAAAAGGGACAAAAGTTTATGTTACCCAAGAGATCCTGAATAACAGTGAACTCTCGAAGGAAGTGTTTATCTCAAGAGGAAAAGCGATTGACAGCTGTAAAGTGAACACATTTTCCATATCAACCTTAGCTTCGTCGCTGTTGCTCAACCCACCATTTCTGTCGATAGCTTCGGGTGAATATGGAGACACCAGCGCAGTGAAATAGCTATGAATCCACGTAGTATCATTTCATATGCAACCCGATCTCCAGTAAGATCTCTTGGATGGGATTTTCTTCAAGATGGCGCGGATGGCTGGTCGTTCTGATAATGGATATATATCCGAATGATAGGCTCCCGTGATTGGTGGAATCGTCCTGCTTTGTCAGCCCCGCCGTGAACCTGCATGATCTGCGCCTCTTTTATTTCGTGCCTTGCAGATTTCTTCAATTTTGCTGCTGTTTTTCTGCTGAATCCTGCGCTTTTAATTGACATGTACTTCTTGCGATAGGTCACTGTATCATCAAGCCCCACTCCATTATTATACTCTTAGTGCACATCCCGTCAGCGTACAACACTCAACCTCATGTCTACATGATGGGCACTACGAAACTTCGGGTCACTCGGCCGACTCCCTACGGTGTATATACCCAGCTAAGGAAACCACTGCGCTTCTCTGTTGCAGAGGATTATGTCTAAAATCATAGTTGTGCCTTAACCTACCTCGTACCTGGTACTCGGCAAGGAGCGGGGCTGGAAAATCTTGATGCGTCTTACTCCTCCCACTCTACAGAGCCAATTTTTATACACGAATTTCGCTGTCATGGGTATTTCAGTTGCGTCGCTGTTAATCGCGCAAGAGCAGCAAGGCTGCCTAAAATCCCTTCAAGTATTTAAGGAGATAAACCAATTGCAAACATCATCTGTTGACTCAAGATTCATCTTTCTTCGTTTATCACCGCTTATTCATTCATAATTGAATTGCAATATGTTATTCTCTGCAACCTCAATCTTACTCCTCACGGCACCCGCTCTTGGGCAGACCCTCAATGCCTGGAGACAAACCGTCTACGGAGAAGGATGCTGCAGTTACGCGGTAGATGGGAATGTAACAACTTTCGATGAAGTTGACTCGATACCAAAAGATCTTGCTCTCCTATTCAATTCCCCAGCCATGTATATCGGTTTTTACGTTCAGTCCTCCGGTGCTTACATTACCGACTACTATGTTGAAGCTGTTGAGGCAACGACGGGCAAAGAGATTATTGTTGGAAAGGTTTCCGGCGCTACCTCCAACTTTACTGTTGTCAATTTTTACGACTCTGTTGGCGCGGCTGAAATCTTTACAGAAACAATGTTTTTCTATGTCACTGGAGTATCTGATGGAGGTAGTACTGGATTCGTCAACGAGATATATCCCATCTACTCAGGCGACACTATTGTATACCCCTCCGGACAATCCGCCCAGCCCTCCCCAACCCAAACCACAACTGCAACCCCAACACCAACTTCAACCGTTTTCCCCACACCCACAGCTTCGGGCATAACTCTAAACACCTGGCCCACCATCTCCGCCACCAAGCCTTTTGTTCAGGACTCCGCATCGTCATACGTCGATGGAAATCCATCCACCGGCCTAGTCTCCTCAAGTTATTTCCTTCTTTTCAATACTGTAAGCACATACGAAGGATTCTACATCTTATCTCAATCGCCCAACTATATCACCGACTATTACGTCATGGCACAAAACCCTATCACATATGCTGATGTTGAAGTCTGTCGCGTCACGAATGCCACGTCAAATTTCACTCTTTGTGCATTTGTGGATGAGGATGGGAAAGCAGGGTTTAGAAGTGAGACGATCAATATCTATCAGGATGGTGCGGGGCAAGGGAAACTAAATGAGGTTTATCCTATTTGGCCGGGCGATGTGGTTGTAGACCCTAATGCTTAATTTCGGAATGAGTTATGATATGATAATATTAATGGGCGTGTTTTTTTTGGGGAAGGGATTGACTGAAAGGCTTTCGGAAGTTTGTTCAAGGGGGGGAGTGACTGTTGAAGATTTAGATGTGCTGGGACCGAGACCATAAAAAGTAATGAATAATGCCAGCTATTGAGAAGACGCTGACTCCCTCGCGTTTTCTGCATATCAGTATACCCCATGATCTGAGTTTCCATCGTGCTCTAAATACCAAAAATTCTTCGCACTTCCTACACTTCCGGTGAACGAAACAATCAGAACTTATAGCTCTTCATCTACCACCTGCGGTTCAATTTCACATAGTCATAAAATCATACACCAATCCCCACGTCAAGCACCAGCTCAAGCTAAAACTTCCCTTTGCTCAAAGTCCCACTGATGTTCTGAGCCAGTCTGTAAAAGTGACTATTAACGCGATGAGAGATAGACTTAAGATCATCTAATGACTCTCGCATAAACCAACGATTTCATAATCAATTATGTACACTGGAATTAATTACAAACCCAATAAAATTTTATCCTCATTCCATAACTACAGCCCCCTGAATTTTGACACTCATTTCCCTCTAAAAGCGTACCTCTACCTCTCCCTGATAAACAGATCGATCTCCAGATAACTACTAAACCATTTCCATGGAATCCGTTCGTGGACTCGGGTGTAAGATATCTACGCCGAGCAAGGAAACTAACATTTTTCCTTCATATACAGAGTTTAGAACGGTATCGAAAATATAATCATCGGTTAGAATTATGAAAAGTATGTGCAGATCTTCGAGTTTGGGTTTGATACGAGTAAGGGTAAGAGTAAGGGTAAGAGTAAGGGCGAGGGTGGGACTGAATTGCGGGATGATGTTTTATTTATTAGATATGGATATTGTTTCCCGTAAAACAAAGCATTCAGCGTGCTCTCACCTCTTCTATTCCTAACTTTTTGTGCAATTCTTCTCGAATTGTCGTTCAGGGAAGAATTTGTCGCCTTTCACAAAGAGCCAGAGATCGAAGCCAACTACGAACGTGTCTAGATTGTCTAAATGAATGTATATTGAGAGTATTTGATGCAATATGAGCGGTCTAACGATACCTATTGATGGAGTAACAAAGAAATGCGTGGTTATGCATGCTGATGGCGTTGGTAAATAGAGTAAATAGTAGTACAAGGGTAAGATGAGCCGTATGATTATTAGAAATGGCAGATTTTAAACACTACATGATTCTCTTTCCGTCGCGCAATAATCAAAGGTCTTGTATGAAATAAACAGTATGTGATAACTGAATCCCACATACGAAGCTCATATGATGTTGTGTACAACTCGCCAAATGGTATTCGTACCAGTATTCACTTGACCACCAAATCTACCATAAGTGTTTGTTGGTATCAACTTGGTTGATAAGTGTAAAGTACTTTAGTCTATGTTGGTTGCATTCGTTCTTGATCATTATTATCTATGGGAAGCTAGTAATTAATATAGGGAAGAGCTAGCGCGACGCTAGCTAATACAGTGCCCTCTTTGATCACATGATCGATGTCCCGACAGCATTCAAAGTAGGCGAGTATCTTCAACAAAAATCCACGGTGGGTGGTTCGGTGGTTGAAGCCATCGCTCCGAGAAGCAAAACCTTGTTAGAATCAGAGATAATAGCTGTCATGAGATATTTCACGGATTTCTTTGGAAGTTTATTTTTATTTTTTGTGGGTCTCAATTTGTATGGTGGTCTCTCATAGATTCACTTAACGACAACGTAGGCGACGACAGGTTCTTTGAGTTCACGCTTTTTTTTATCATATCTCGCTTTTTGACGGGTAAAGAAATGACCTGCAACCACACACGAAGGTTGCAGCTTGCAAGACTTTAATTCCTGACTATTGAAGTTTAGGGACATCAACAGTCACTCTATTGAAAACATAATAAGCACTTCAACTAGGAAAGTATGTACAACAAGAACAACAGTGGGTGGTGTGTGATGGCTTACACCGTTAATCCATGGCGAGCTCGTTAGTATCAGAGATATCAGCTGTCGCGAGTAAGCCGCCCCATGGAATGATTTGTTAGTATTAGAGATAATAACTATCGCAAATTATTTCGAAGCATCTTTTTTTTGAGAATATTTTGTGAGACTTAATTCCTTTTTGAGTCTCGCGTGGCTATGCGACAATTATCTTGACTCGACATCTTTCGACATTCCACTGTTTTGACAGGTATTGGAGTGGGACAAGACCAGTCGACAGTGAATCATAGGTCTCATAATCTCTTCTGCCTTTAGTTCCAACATACCGAGGATATGATACGCAGTTTGGAGCATGTTATTCATAAAGCAGAAGAGATAACGAATTGCAAAAAGATAAAATGTTACAACATTACAATGTTGGCTATATAATCAGAGCTTGCTGATACAGCCTACGACTCAGTTGATGGTATCTTCACATATGCAGAGCAATCTTCACGCAATTAGGCTGGATCTTGGAAATAATTAATTAATATTTATGGAGACAAAGACGCCCGCCTCTACCTGCGAGGTAAGAGGATCAGTATTAAGGTAACTTCCGCAAACTCTCTAACCAAAGGACATGATTTCAAAGCAATCGTCTTCCTACATACATCTTTCTCTGTTCTGCGCTCTCCCTTCTTTCACTAGTGGTGATGTATTCTCGTTAATTCTTATCATGAATAAAGTTGTCCTAAATTCATTGTTTTTAATGTGAATAAATGTGAGTCCCCGACTCTCCACCCATAACCATCAACAGAAAATCGCAAATTTTCTCCTCAATAGAATCTCAGCATGTTTGTGGCGGAAGACGGAATTAACAATCAGCATCAGGTTTCTCCATCTTGACCTTCTTGCCAGAGGGTCTTGAAGGAACTGCAGCAGAACTAGTGCTGCTATTAGTGGTGGCAGGTCGCTTTTGAGTTACTGCTGGGCTAGCGGCAGAGCTTCCCGAACTTGCAGAGTTGAGCACTGGGACGTGTGGTGGGCGTTGTGCGCGTGTTGAGCTCCGGCGACGACGGAGATTTGATTGTGGTGGTCTAGATTGTCCAATGGTAGCACCTGGTCCTGGATGCGGCTGTCTGTTACCTTGAGCATTGCCATTTTGTTGGTTACCATTATTCTGAGGACCTGAAGCAGCAGGAACGTTAGAGCCACCTGTCTGAACAGCGTTAGGCATGGCAGAAGAGACGATGCGATTTGCTCCACGTAGGCCGTGGGCCAATGCCGTATCTGAAAGCATGAGAGTGCTGATCATTCTGCCTCCATTATGATCAGAAGTAGGTGTAGGCGCATAGGGCTGATTGAAAGCAGGATTTGTGTTGTCAGACCCACTTGATCGATTGTCACTAATCTCTAAACTACCAGCAGCTACAGACATACCAGTTGATAGTCTAGCATCTGTTCGAGTGTTTGTAGCTTCACGAGTAGGGTTATTATCAGGATTTCCGATGATAGATGCATGACCAACAATACCAGTATCTGTACCAACGGGATTTTGTAGAGGGTGAGCGAGTTGATGAGCAGGCTGAAGAGCTGCAGCTGGAACTGCGAGAACCTGAACTGGGCGATTACCAGGAGGTGGTAATCTATAGCGCATAAGCTCTATAAATCCATCACGATCCGTCGTGCGTGGGCGACCTAAAAAGTCGGTCAGTCATAACTACTAAGGAGATCAATGGCTCAGTGATACATACCTCTCAAATCTCTCAGCATGTTATTCATGTAGCATTTATATTGCCAGATATGGTACACCTGATGGAAAATCTCGCTGATAAATTGGTTAGGCCCTTCATCCTTCAAGTCGGCTTCAATTTCTTGCCAAATGATCTGAGCTCTACCGAGAACATTTTCTGTAGTATACTTTAGCTCTTCGCTAGGATCATGAACGAAGGTCAAGAAACCCATTGGGCCAGGTCTAGGGCGGGAGAAGATCCAACGCTTGAAGAAGGCATGATTCTGGACGATCTTGAATAGTTGTCCCCAAAGCGCAGGGACCAAATTGATACTATTCAGATTGAAGGATTGGAGCTCATTGATGATTCCTCGTACCCAAGTAAATATTCCTCGGCGCTCCATAATTCCAATTTCTACAACGGTATGGTTACCAGACAAGAGTGGCTTTTGAGGTGTATCAAAGGAACCGCATATTTCATCGGCACGAATATCAATAGGAAATTGTGGGTGTAAGGATATTCTAAACGCTAAGTCTCGTTGGGTAGCTGCGTTAGCCATGTTGATTGTGTCGACAAAGCTCGAATTTCGATGAATGAGGTATTATGTTGAGAATGTTGATTCTCTTGATGATTTTGGTGAAGAGGCAAGTTCTTCAGGTAACTGAGGAGATTGTTGTGTCGAGAATTGTGAGAAAGAAAGATTCGCAATGGAGAAGCTGGGTGATTATGAGCAGATTAATAAGACCTAGTGCAGAACCGCAAGCTTAGGACAGTCATTGAAAGTGCTATAAACTAGCTGTACTACAACTTTACCGTAAGTAACGGTGTCGAATTGTAGATCTAGCCTCTTAATTCGATACTCGATCTTAAAAAGTGGTAAAAACACACGTGACACTGTCTTGATGGCCGTATACTTTCAATCCAACTACGGCTCTTCAGCATTCGACATTCTTCTATAAATGTTTGTTTAAATTCACATGTCTCTTACTACTAATGGAGGAAAAATTATGCAGAGGCAGCCGTATAGAAGCAAAGGAAAACCAAAGAATAGAGGTAGATGAATTAGGTTCAATCGCTAGTTACACAAATCAAGATAGCCAATGGCGGAAAAACAAGTCTAAGAAGGTGTAATTTAACACATGATAATGAGGTATAGATGCGGAACGATGGTCACCTTGAAGTGTACATGACATCATCTTCCGTGATTTAAGCGAAATTAGCGTGTACATTCTCATGGTCAAGTAGAAATAAGAGACATGACAAGGAACCAAGATAATGAAGGGTTATTGGATTTTAATAGAGACATCTACCGATCTCAGAGTAGTCAGTTTCTCTAGGACTAGCATCAATCGAACATTATCATACATCAATGAGAGTTACCGAAGCAGAATCACTGACATTTGAGACTAGTGGAATCCATTTAACTCTAGATTTAGAAAACTTTCTATCGGACCTAAGTAGGGGCCCGACTTTTCGAAATAATCAAATGGGATTTGAGAACTCATGGTATTGGGTCATCAAGCCTCCATCTGAACTAGTGGTCGATTAATCATCCCCATGGCCAACCAGTCCAGGTGGTTAGTGCTACCAACTTTAACCCACAACAACCCTAACACAGTAAAATCACAAATCACAGATCCGATTAGGTAAATGAATGCTTGAAAACACGTCTAGATTATATCTCAATATACTTATCGAATCTGAGATTTGAATGTATTTATTAAAACAGCATTGATTGTAAAGTTATAATTATTCAAGACTCTCAAATACTAAATTCATCAGGTCATACAAAATGATGATTCTTTTTCTTTTTCCCAACTAATTTAAGATTTTACAACAATCAGAAATGTGAGGCTTTACAGTAACAACTTTACTCAATGATATAATTAAGAGGCCATCTAGAGCTACAATATGTACTTAAATGTATTAAGATTTGGTGTATAGTTGACTGAATATAGATTTATGAAGTTGATTTGACTGCGTCAAAGTTAGTACCATCGAGCACCTAGATTAGTCGGCAGAATTTTTCCTTTAGCCAGCAAGTATTAGAAACTCTTACAAAAGTGCTTGATTTTTGGACCGGGAGATTCTCAAATTTCATGCACATGGACATAATACATATGCGCAAGTGATTCTGTGTATCATACAAGAGTATTTGACATAACTGCTGTTGATCGATTTGTAGGAAACTGACAACTAAAATTAGAAATTATTGTGGACATAAGTTCGCTCTGAATCAACGAAACCTCTGAGTGAGCGAAAACTTTGAATGGATAATAACCAGTAGATGAAGTTGCTACACTTGAATGCATAGAAAGTATCCGCCGGTCGAATCTCCAGACTACCAATACATGCGTCATCCATAGATGGTTATAAACGCTATAATAACACTACCTGGCCCAAAATACTAGATTTCGTTGACTGCTCGCCCCTTCACTTCTCGTCTGCCTTCCGTTCTCAGAAGCGCACAGTCGCTTTCCAGTGCATATCTCTCCAGAATTATCTCATGCTAAAAGGACGATATAGCGACCTGGACTTGTTGGCCTTCGCAGGAAGTGGTTTATCGTTCGCAGGTTTGTCCGAGGCGAGTTTATCTCTCGAAGTCTCCTCGCTGATAGTGTGCTCTACAATCGGTGCTTCGGCCATCAGTTTATCACCAGTAGAGTCTTCGCTGACAGTTTTCTCGATGATAGATTTGACGCTAGCCGGCTCTTCATTGATAGACTTATGGTCTATGGGTTTGCTAGTGATGATGCTTTCATCAAGAACTTTCTCGCCGACAGGCTTTTCACCGCCAGTTGTGTCGCCAGTGTGCCCACCGCCAACAGCTTTGTTTTTCACCACATTTTCTTCTCCAGACTGTTTACTGACTCTCAAGCTTGTAGAACTATCAAGGTTGCTTGTCCGGTACTGTTTGAGGAAATTTGTGTAGGGAGAAGCATAATCAGAAGGGGAAGTTGTGGGGTTGTTTTTAATCTTCGGCCTTTTGTTATGACTGTCCGGAATAGTATTGTCAGCCTCACTAATAGGTTCGGGCCTTTTCGCATTGACTTTTTGGAAGTGATTAGTTTTATCGCCTTGCTTCACATTGAAAAAACTAGGCCTGGTCTCCTTGTCTTTTTCGATATTGTTAATTTTCGTATTGCACTGACTGCCATTCGTAAAAACGGATGTACTTCCCCTGGGTGTGTTAAGATCGTTCTCCCTGGCACTGAGCTTCTTGCCACTAGTATCAGTGAATCTTTTCTGCTTTTTTCCTCCCGTGCTATCCAATCTCTGTTTGGCTGATCGTTGATCGAAAGAATCACTTCTTGTTTTTTTGCTTCTGCAGATCTTACTTCGCGTTGATTGTCAGGACTATTGATAGGTGTCCCAGGATTGACCGGAAACTTAGAATGCATAGTTGTGTCTAGGCTATGTACAGAAGGTATTCTTGCGGAGGAAGAATGTTCGACTTCATATTCATCTTCAAGAGACATGACAGGAGAACTTGGATGGCGACCGTGATCTCTTAACCTGAGGCTTTCGATAGGTGTAGTTGTCGATTTCGGTGACGGCGTGTCTAAGATTACAATCACATCTTTGTCTTGGGCACTGACGGAATTTCTGGTGTCAGAGAAACGATTTCCGGTCTTGGTGCGTGTTGTATCGCTATGAGACTGTGCTATTTGCCCGTCGTGAGAGGTCGGCAAATCTTGTCCATGGTTTTCTCGACCACTAAAAACTGGCTCGAGAGCTGGTGTAATAGTCATAGGACGTTTGGATCCACCACCAAACCCCTGAGCTCTGTTAGGGTACCTGTCTTCTCGAATCTGTGGCGCAGGTAGGATGAAGCCCACAGGAACCTGAGAGATTTGTGAATATTCTATACCGTCGTTATAACTATCACCCGCCACATTAAAAATATTGCGCGATGGCTTATCTCGAGCGGTGGGTGGTTGGTACTGTACACCAGGGTGTAAGCTAGGCGACTGTTTACCTTTGACCGATAGGGTGACTGGCATTGTAGAATGAGGTTGCTCTTGAACTGATTGAGAATATTTTGGCAGTTGCAGATGGCCCGTCTTCGGTTGCAGTATAGATGGAATTCCGGACGAATATGTTCGACTTGGGTGCACAATATTATCGCTTGAGTTTCCTCGTTTTGTGCTGTACCCTGCGGAAAAAGTTTCTACATTTCTCGGATTGTCCCTGCTAGCAGGCGCCATGGGACGAGGAAAGTGACTACCCGATGGTATGGTTCTCGCCTCTGGAATTTGCATTATATTTGCACGATCGACGCTGCTAATTCTGGCATAGTTTGCCGCTTCTGCTATTGTTTCCATGCTTGGAAGGACAGAAAGACCTGTTGGTAGTTGTGGTTAGTATGTGCATTAAATGGAAAGGAAGATATACACTTACCCCGAGTATGGCGGGCTTGATTGACTAAATTGCTTTTGATATTCCAAAACCACCCGAGATGGTCAATCATCTGATCAACAAATGCGCTATCTTTCTCTAGCCTTAATTCCCACTCAAGATCAGTCCAGACTTGGTGCGCTGATGCGAAGATATCATTTGGTGTCCAAGGTGGTCGGATAGGTCGTTGAGCATGAGTTGGATGAACTCTGGGACGTGTGGACACCCATGAATAAAATTGAACCATATTTTGGTACACACGAAACAGATCATCTGCGGCCTTCTCGTTGCCTGGATTCAAAATGCCGATTCTTTGAAGTTCATCAATGATATCAAGGGCCCAAGCAGTGATGCTATGACGATTCATTGATGGGAGATCCTTCTTGGATCGCGCAAATGGGTTCAACATATTGTAGTTTCTTGATTCTTGAGTTTTGATGTAAAAAGGCTCTGAATGTTGTTGTATTTGTGAGGAAAGCGTGGTCGATGTCTCGACTTGGGAACCTTTCTGTATAGCCCATTCAATCTAATACGGTTAGCGTATGTCCAAATCAAATATTTTAACCAATATTAAAAATTTGACTTCGAAGCGAGTACAGCCAGTGATAACAAGTCACACCATGTGGTAATTTCGTTTACAAGAAGTGAATAGTGTTGGACATTGGACGATATGCTAAGAACAAGTCCGAGCTTTCATTAATATCACATGCTGGTGTTCTTTAGTGTTTGCAACTAAGTTGTGATCTTTATGCCGGAGAATAATCTAGTGATTTTTGGTGCAGAACAGGTACTTTATTGTGGTGTGTATCAATAAAGAGCTACTTTGTCTTACATGCTCAAGCTCAAATTTGTATCTTTCCATTTACATATTTCTGTCACCACTGAAGCACCTCGAACGTACGATTCAATGAATTTATTAAATCTATACAAATTGGTTCACTTGGAGATATGATGCCACAAAGGAGAGTAAAGAAGCTCGATTATCTAGTTGTCGCTTATGAAAGGGGCTCTGGTCTCCAAAATGAACACAGAGCATTATCCTGTGCTTTGATTAAGAGATAACAATTTCTAAAGTAAGCCGTCTTGAGAACCGCGGCTAATGATGAGGATAGACATCTTTCAAGCAAGAAAGGGCAGTATCTCAGTGATGGTTGCCAAGACAATTAGCCTTGAAGCATTCATGAGAAAGAATCGCCTTTAGCTCTTTGAGATATTATGAGGTTGGAATTTCATAGATGGGCGAAGGAGGAAAAAGTGCCGAAAGAAGACCTGCGAGAAGGGAGAATGGAAACATTCGCAAGCAGATTGAAGCATATACCGATACTCGACGGTGACTAATTGACCTGAGCTTTATATGGATATATGATTAGACCAACAGTGGAAATAACCCTTGAGCCGGTGATAAAACTGTCCCGCTCCTTTTCGTTGAGTATGATTTAGCATTGGACTTTTGACTTCACAGGCAATTCTCTTAAGTGAGTCTGAAGATATAATTCTTTCGTGATAACGATGTTCAATTATCATTTTGTATATCTGATTTTCTTTTGAAACGCTCATGATAAGAGTTAAACCATAGAAATCATGGCAGAGTATTTCATCACCGGGCGAGATACTAATGTCTATAGCAAATGTAGTCAAACCTTAGTGAATGAGTTACACTATACACCGAAAAGCCTTTGGCCTAATACTCGATTGGCATTCGAAGGTAGCCCCATCGAGCTTCTGCGCAAGCTTAACTCGGCGTCGTCAAGTTTTATGACCCTTGATAGGATTGGAAATGCAGTTCCTTGAAACTCATAGACAGCGATGAGCTTTACGAAAGACCATAAGTGCCTATGAGATGTCTAGGATTTACTATATTTTGACGTGTTCTTCCACATGAATTCAATCATCGACAAAAAGTTTTGAGCACATTCACTAACTAGAGTGTTACCAATGACAATTGAATAGAATGAATTTAGCAGGAGACTTACAGGTTTACTCCTCAATATTGAGCCAATTAGTACTGCATTTGTTACGGAAAGTTTTGAATGTATCTGACTTCATCTTGCGATTTTTCATACGACGAATGATTCCTACTAGACGAATGCGTATTGTGATAGTGATAAGTTGGAATTTTAGTGAAGCTCGTTCGCCCTAAAAGATAAAAGTTTAACAACAGTCTGGACGTTTTCCTCAATATTAATCAGATGATTGAAGTACCCACTTAGTAACTTTTTTCTACCACGCACAAAAGGATAATTTGAGAGAAAAATATTCGTTGTCAGCGACTTGACACCCTCTTCAATCATTCCTCTTCCAAAAGAAAAGATTCAACAAGGCGGGCTTTGCATCAAAGCATATAATGAGCTTCCCCTTAAGAGAAGTCTGGAGCGAGCTTCTGCGTTCTACCTCAAATAATCAAGCGGTCCTGAAAGAACTTCTCGATGGTCGCCCAGAGATCGAGCGGGCGACAGATTTGAACTGCATGTTTATGAATTATATTTCTATCATCTACAAGGTCTTTAACATAAAGATAGAAGGTGGTCGGATTGATCCAAGAGGTGTGTAAGATAACGATTTAAAAAAGAGGCTAAAATTGACAACTCCGTCAATTTAGTTTGGCTACCCAGCGACCACGAGTTTGTCGAAATGCTGAAATTATTGGTACGCTATATAAACGACATCACTACTTGGATTGAGGACCATGATCGAACTGGCGCATCTTGGACGTCTATTGGTGGTAAGCATCAGTATGGGATGGCAAAGATCTAGGGAACAAGCTGACAACTTTTTTTCTCTAGAATTCTACGCAGAGTCATTGCTCGAAGTCGATGCGCAGTGTCAGAGATGGTGGGTGTTGGCCGATATGACCATCTTCAATCCGGCCAACACTCCATTCAAGACACTTCCAATAATGCTGCTTAATGAAGAAAGTGTTCTTCAAAAATTCGATCCAGCTAACTTCAACCGGTTCAAAGGGGCACAATCATTGTCACCCATGGAAAACAGCTCCACGGACATAAGTAAATTTGAAGCTCCGCCATCGCCAGCATCATCACTGAAACAACCTCAAACTCCCTCTACTGCTTCCTCAAGTTTCAGTTGCCAACCCGCAACGATGTCCCTCGACAAAGGCCAGATAGCAGCCGGCTTTACTGATAGTTGGAATCATGGCGAAGATTCAAACTTTTCCTCGCACAATTCATATGGTGATATAGATCAGGGCTTCCTATGTAATGGCGGCGTCGAACCTGGAGGGCTTGATGTACAGCAGACTCCCGTTTTCATGCCAACTACACCTCGATTGGAACAGAACGGATTCGTACCATCACATAACCCGAGTTCATCATTCCATCAACCTGTTAATAAGCAAGGCGAATTCTGTCGGCCAATGCCTCCACCTGCTCGAAAGATTGTTATACCACGACTTCAAAAACAAGGAAATTTAGAGCCACTTTTTCCACCAACCCAACATTCAGAACTTCGACCTTCTCTGCCTACTCCACAGACTTTCAATTCTGGAACATATAGAAAGCGAGGATACAGAAAAGTTTCGCCGCAAGCTTTGAGTAGAAAACCAAAAAAACGACGAGCAGTAGCCGCTGAGATGCCGCAGCATAAACCGGGATACACTGGAATGCAAGAATTTCCACCTGGCTCTAAACTTTTGCCTGGTAGTTTGATGCATGGCTCCCCTGGCAGCGCTACGGGATTTACTAGCGGATCCTATAATACAAATCACTCAGCCTCGGCAGCTTTCAGTGCCCTCAAGAGAAACGCGGAAACCATGCGGACTAATCTCAAGAGCGTTCCACATAAGGTTGCGATCGGTTCGCAAATGGATTGGAACAATACAGTTTCAACCAAAAGCAGCCCAAAAGGGAGAGCCGGAAACGTTGTCACTACACAGCAGGACTGGAATGACACCGTATCAGCCGCTCTTGACTCAGAACGGGGTGGGGCAAATACAGGTCTCGGAATTTCAAGTCCAAAAATCAGTCGCGATCCCTCAAGATTACCTGGAACTCCTATGATGTGTACGGATATGAGTATAGGATATGCACGCCCGGATGCATCCCAGCAGTCAATATGTTTCAGCTCACCAATACACTCACCATTAACAGGAGGTGATTTAAGGGGGTAATGTATCCGGCCTTGCACGATTAATTGGAAGTCGACTAATACCTGGTTTGTTAGTGCTGGCCACAAAAGCTCACGACATCTGCACCACAGTGCAGTCGAAAGAGACTATGTTTTAGGCGGAGATCAATCTTTGGAAAACGAGTCAACTGTGTTCAAGCCATGGTAAAGTGTTTACTTGTTTGTGTAAATTATCAGGGAATAGGATTTTGTTATGAGAGTTTGCTTCGTTCGAGTAGCAGACAAGTACTGTGGTAAAGAAGCACAATTAGAAATGATCGCGAGGTGTGTACTTTCTCATTGCGAAGGACCGGAGACAGGACCAAAAGTGCGGGTAAATATGTGGACGGGACTCAGGAAGATTTGAAACGAAAGAGCACATGCTTGAAGCTCTAAAAATTTCAGACACGACTCTTCAGTTTGCACTTTGTGAAGCTTTAGAAAGTGGCGTGCTCATACCTGCATTTGTATGTGCCTCCAACGTTGGGGCGGAGAATTGGCCGACCCAGCGTTTCAAAACTTTACAAACAATCGGTGCCATTCATGGTTCATTCCATTTTATCTTCTGTGACCTTACGCCTCGTAGCCCAGGAGTGATTCATTTCTAATTTCGATATCACTATTCGTGCAGCCCCCCCGAACCTGTAGATGCGCCCGCAATACAATCCTATTTGTACAAAAATTTCCAAGATAAGACTCTCATCCTTTTCTATGCACTTTGTTGAGTTTCCTGGCCGTTGATATCTGCTGTCCATTAGTATTTGCAATCTTGCGTACCCCGCTCCGCATGCCTGCACATACCTGACTCTTCGTATTTTGTCCTCTTACTGGCAGGCCCATCGCATGCCTCCTCCCCCGGTAACTACCCATCGTTCTCATTCTTTCGATGTTATCCTGCAACCTTCTTTTCAATTCGGTCTCTAAAGGCATGGTGGAAAGCTCAGCGGTCAGAGATGTGACCGTTTTTTGTGACAAGGAACCGACAGTCGCCGTGGGATGGATGTAGTGCTTGGCCATGATACGAGCTGAAGCTTGGTTCCCTAAGCCATAGAAGGACTCCAAAGATTTCTACACGCCATAAGTATGTGAACCAAGAATTGTAGCAGGCTCAATCGGAGTTGGATGGGGCCTTACCTTCACCAAATTTCGCTCAGCGAACGAGATCCCCAAGATGAAAACCTGCAACCAATGTCAATGCCCGAGTAGAGAGAAAAGATCGGTACAAACATACCATGTTCAAGGAGTTTTGATTATACTGGTACGGGATATATGTCTTTAATGTCTCTCACAGTTCTTGATTAATCATAAAGATGTGAAAGTTACCTATCAATTTTTGATAACGCACGGACTTCTTGTTATGACCCTCAAGCCTTCCTATTCCGAGGTTCGCACGTGCCATGTGGCGCTAAAGGTAATCGACACCTCTCCACAACACATAACTCGAGCTTCCTCTGAACAACATCACTTTGTTCTTTTAAGGTTTTTCTTGGAGGGCACATTATCTTCATTTTAAACTACACTTCATCAAGTCAATATTCAATTGGCTTCCAAGATGCTCACACTTCAACGTTTTGTAGTCTCTGCACTACTTATCTTGACTGTTACCTTCCTCTTCTTCGCTCAAACAGCTGAAGCTGCCAAAGGACCCAAGATTACCCACAAGGTCTACTTCGACATCAGCCACGGCGATGAACCCATGGGTCGTGTTGTTCTAGGTCTTTATGGCAAAACCGTCCCTAAGACTGCCGAGAACTTCAGAGCTTTGGCAACTGGCGAGAAGGGATTTGGATATCAAGACTCTACTTTCCACCGTGTTATCAAGGGCTTCATGATCCAAGGAGGTGATTTCACAAAGGGTGATGGAACCGGAGGCAAATCAAGTAGGTCACAAAGTCTGCGAGCGAAGCATGAGGTTCTAACAATTGATAGTCTACGGAGCTAAGTTCCCAGATGAGAACTTCAAGTTGAAGCACTCCAAGAAAGGTCTTCTTAGCATGGCCAACGCCGGAAAGGATACCAATGGTTCCCAATTCTTCATTACTACTTCTACTCCTGGGTGAGTAATCTCTCGCAAGTCCCGCAATGCAACTTTCTCATGCTAACACTCTTTGTAGTCATCTTGATGGTAGACACGTCGTCTTTGGCGAAGTTTTGGAGGGATATGAGATCATCGAGGCAATTGAGAACGTAAAGAAGGGAGGATCAGATAGACCAGTTGAAGCTGTCAAGATCACTGAGAGCGGGGAATTACCAGTACCAGAAGAAGGTATCCATGTGGAACTCTAGAGTGGACTCCTTTTGTGGCATGCGAGCATGATTGGGAGGACTTACTGATTCGTCTGTCTGACGTGCTGTAGATGTATACGGTACTGCTGAATTTCAACCCGGCATGGAAGAAGTCGAAGTTCCTCTTGCACCAACCGATCCTTCCACTCCTGCTGCTGCCACCGCAGTCATTCCAGTTGTTGGTACCCCACCAAAAACCGAGACAGAGGAGTTTGGCTATGCTGATGAGGCTGGTTACACTCTTTTGCAAAAGGGATTGTTTTTGGCTGTTATTTTAGGATGTGTGGCCTTCTACGTACGAATGAACAGAAGAAACAAGAAGTTTGAGAGGTCAATCGTCTAGTTACATAGGTTTCCATTTCAGATCACTCTTTACATACATTGTTGGTATCCTCTCAATCTATTTGCATTATTATCAATCCGGTTTTTGTCTTTAAACGTGGTATACCATAACAAAACAATTTTTGTGGGTGTTTGATACCTGTTAATCAACCCTACACTCCAATGAATCTCATATCACCAAAACCCCTGACATTTAGACCAACTCTGATTTAGACCAAGGATCGCGCACCGCAGCGTCGGTCGCTCACACCAATGAATTTCTCAACCACACACGCCTTCTCAAGTACTTCAGGTTCCCATTCAACCCAGTCTTCACTGCTCTTACCAATTCTCTCGAGCCATGGTCCCAATGCCTTGAATGCCAATTCTGCACCCCATCCCTGGATCAACACTGCTTCTTGGTTGTTCTTTGCCACGTAGTGTCTAATTATTGAATCCCAATTCATACTGACACAGACATCCCCTTCATGCCAGTCATCTAGGTTGACCATACTCTCGAGTGCAGGCTCCGATGGGGTAGTACAGCCCTTGATCAGGCTAGAGAGTAAACTGGATTCTTCAGTTACCCACCTGACTTTTTGCAGACAATGCTCATAATCTCCGCCGGCGGTCAAGCTTTGAATCAAAATGCGCTTATCCATGTGATCATCCGTTCTATGTCTTGGTTCAGTAGCGGTATCCCCTCTCCAATCACTCGGCTCTTCACGATCTGGGTCGTGGAGTACGGAATTTCCGCCAGGGACGTAGATATCTCCACGCTTTCTTGACACTCTCTCGCGTGCGTAAATATACCCCGCGCGCGGTTTCTGCTTTCTGAGATCGTCGTCCCCTGTCAAATCGATGATTTCGTATCTCGCCTTCTTATTATTTGTGTCTGCCTCGTATGGTGATTCCCTCTTTGCAGAAACGGTCTGCTGATTGTTATCTGAAGTTTTTCCACATCGAGCGGCGGGTAAATATTTTCGTTTCTTGATGTATGAAGATAGCTGCTTGTGCATGAGCTCCCTATCAGGCTTGGAAACCAACAAGAAATCAGCTAAAATTTGAATGTTCTGCAAGTCCGCCTCAGTTGAAATGGCAGAACTCAATTTCTTTGTGTCCCAGAAATTCACCAAACAGCTAGTGTATAACCAAAGCTTCTTAACAGGCCATTGTGCTATAGTGCCATGGTTCATATTAAGATCATGAAATCCTGATTTTATGACATCGTGCATAAATACTATTTTTCCAGGCACTTTAATCTTTAGACTGCTCGATATTCTTGGGTCATGATATATCTTATCGTCGTCATCTTTCACGCTCCCACCTTTCTTTCCCTCGAATAATACTCGTAGCATAGGCATTTTGGAAAAGATTCTTTCCTCAGAAACCATAGTATAATAAGCGCTAGGGTTATCTTCCGTGCATCGAAAAGCTTGTATGATCAATGGTCTTTCGATTAAACCATGAACTCTGGAAATGAAGACTCGGTTAACTTTCTCCATTCTATGAATACTGTATACTTCTGATGTAATTCTATTAGGATCAAACATACGGGTATTCTGGATCATTGGGTTCCTCATTTTCAAAACCATTGAAAGTTCCACTGGCAGTTCTCTCAGGCTGGCTGGTTGATACTGTATTAAGTGTTGGCGGTGATAGTGAGTTAATCAACGCAGAGGTCGAAGCTGAAAGATCATTTGCAGGATCAGAGGAATCGACAATGCTGTTTTCGTCTGCGCCTTTAGATTCAGCTGTCAGCAACTTCCGCAGACTAACAACTGCATTGCAATCGGGATCAACGGATGTGAGATCTTCGTTCGCGACAAATTCCTCATAATCTTTGAGTTGTTGCCGCAATCTTGGTATTTCTTGGATTGCTCGATCACGGAGTCTAGGAATTTCCAAAAGCAACTTCGACATTGTTACTGATTAAATGTCCCGCATGTAGAGACACAATCTGGCTCTATTATCCCCGAGTAGTGAGCTCTCCAGATACCCACAAGAAGATGAGAGAGGTTTGAATTCAATAAAAAAACACAATATAGATACTGAAGATGAAGGAAAAACGGTTTCAGAGAAGATAATCAACAAGAATAATTCACTGCGCCCGGTTGAAAAGCCATACGCGTGCCGAAATATCGATATCAGACGATATAACACGCTTGACATCTTCAGAACGCGAAGGAAAACGGCCGCGTGGTCAAGCCAAAGTGACCGCAATAAATCCTTCACATTTCATCTTCGACTACCAAAATAAAGTTCTGATCATGGGAAATCACTCATATTTGCTGCCCATCAGGGCCAAAGATACACGGAGTGTGGTTCAGAACGCTTTATCTCAAGAAAATATCGAATCTCGTCCCGCTGCAGATGTTCACTCGGATCAAAAGACATTTGATGTAGCAGGTATGTATTAAACCATCTCCGTGGTTTCCATTTTTAAGTGTTCCATCTTGACAGTCAGATACTGATATCATCGTAGGTTCTCCTGAGCCTTATTCTCCTCATGCCCCAATAGAATCTGCTGCTACCTCGAACGATGACGCGCCCCAATCTCGACTCCCATTGCGACATAACAATAATGAACAACAAGACTCTGTCGGCGATACTAGAATCAAATCAGACAAGCTGGAAATGAGCGCAAATGATTCGACCGACTCTCAAAGTTCTCCGAAGAAGAAGACAAATGGTCGCGTTCTCTATTGCGATATCCTTGGCCCCGATGGAACGCCTTGGTTGCCAAAATTATCAAGGAAACAAAGACAAATGAAGAAGCGATGGTATCGTGCTGCTGTTCAAGCAAAGATGGCTAAAGATGAAATGCTTGCGGCTGCAGAGAAAGAGAGAATTCGAAAATGAGAGACGCGCTGTGATATCTACTTCAAGAAAAAGTCATATCATGGTTCGCTGCTTATGATAGCTCCACAGAGTATTGGTCACAATGAAAACAATACAAAGAATATGCTCTATCATCATGTGAGGTAATTTTCCTGGGGAAGGGTGAGACCAGATATTTGAAATATACTCGCGAAAATCATTGTCCTCCGTCAACTCTAGAAGGCAGTACCTGGCCAACATTTTCTAAAGTTGGCAACCTTGCCTTTCAAGTGCGTTCCCTCTCAAAACATGAACATGCACAGGCACGAAAGCTATCTTCCAGTCATCTTATCATCATATTCAATGGAACCTTGAGGCTAGAAAAACGAGACACAATTACAGATGCAGAACCTATCAATGCTACAAGATTACATACAACACCCATATCTTTGCTGCTTGCTTTTGCTTCCTCAATTTGAATTCCGACAATGAATGCAAGTGCAATTGACCAACTGACCCTGGACCATAAATAATCAGCCAGTGAGAGTGTTGTAACCTGAAGAATAGAGACATCATCTGAAAGAAGTGCTTGATGATAGAAGATGTTGATATAGAGGTGTTGGCAATTAATGGGACTTAAGAAGTTTCTCCACTTCGGCCGATTGTATCGAAGCTATAACCAAGCAAGTAATTCTTTCTCTTAACCACCAGAAAGAATAGTGATAATAATGTACTCACTGACTATTGAATGATGTCAGGTCCTTACCTTAGGTTCTAACGGAACAAATCGTATTTTGTGAACTTCTAAAAATTGTAGAGCGCACTTAGTATGTGTATTAGGTAAATGAAGAAGTTATATGAGAAAAGCGCAGAGGTTGGAGGGTTATATCTTGCGACAACGGCTCTTCATCAAAAATCAGAACAAACATGTGGTGTGGCATACCTGTTAAGCTTCGGCGTCCAGGCCCGCGCCGTTTGTTCCCCGTAAACTGTAGATTTTTTTGCTTTTTTCTTGTTCAAAGATATTGACCCCACTCTGGCGTATTCACTTTTTGGGGGTAAAAAATTTGATTTTTCTAATAGTGTCTCTAAGCTCACTGGGGATTTCTGCCCATGGTTCTACCTGACTCTCCTTAGGAGAAAAACCAGGCCAGAATTGACCACTAGCAAAGCCCTTCAACAATCCAATTGTTTCACATCAATTCAAAAAATGAAGTATTTAATTAATACTACAATTGAAGATTATTCAAGAATTTATTAGATGTTATTAACTTTTACAATTTTATCAGTGATTGATTTATCATAGGATTCATTGGGGTGATCAATTTCGACCTCTTTTCTCTCCTATGTAGAGCTTGACACCACAAATATTTAAGTGGGTCTAGATCGTCTAATATCGCAAGCGAGATGATTGAAGCCTTCAAGCCCTGGCTCTTTAGCCTTATGTTCCATTACTTTTACATGAAAAAAATGTATCTAACTGAATACTAGCTGAATAAGTGCAAAGTGATACTTATTTTAATCAGTTGTTATTCTGATCGGAATGCACTCACTAGTTCAAAGCCTAAATGTTCACAGATTTGGGTGCGCTAAGGCTATGTAATAAGGCTTAAGGAACATGTCTTACATGTGTCAATTCGTGTAATCCTTTTGGTCTTGTTTGGTTTAATGGCCCCCAAGTCGATTTCTTTCTAAGATTCAAGCAACCATCAATGTCGCCCCTATACTTTCAATTGTCCATTAATGATAGGATGTATACACAAATATGGTACTTAAGGGCAGTGCTCGCAAAGGGTTAAAGGGTGAGCTGGGTAATACGATTAGAGTAAGTTAACCGAAGTATAAAATGGTGGCCCGTGTTTGGGTGGTTTAGGTCGGTTTTTACCCAAAAGGTTTTGTGGGGTGGAATGGGTTGATAACCCGATATCATTGAACGGTTTTCAAAAAAACTCATGAATCTTCGATTTCAGCTTCAATTTCAGCCTCAGCCATATTTAACAACCATCTTCAATAGACTGGGTCGGATCGCAAGGGGCCCAATAACCTTTTTAAGACTAGCGAGCTGGGTTGAGTCTTAAAAACGAAAGTACGAACCCCCGCGTAGTGACCACGGCTTGAGAGTGAGATTTGGGGTGAGACGAACGCGGACACTGAACAAGCTATTTCGTCTTGCAAGGGCCCGGCTTGCGAGAATGGCAGTAGGAAAGGAGGAGCATTCTGACGACGAGGCAACGTAGGTCAGAAGAAATATCCAGTAGAAAGGGAAAGCAGAGACAAGGACGCTCCTCAAGCAGACGTAGGAGGGATTCAATATCTGCTCGAATACGGAGACTGAGAGTTTTCCAAGCGGAGTTTTGCGGGGAATAACACGAAGAGATCTTTTTTGTACCTTTCGTGCTATTTTGTTGTACTCTGGTCTCTAATCTACTTGTTTCGGCTGCTAGAGTTTTGAAGTTTTGAGCTGGCGTTGATTAGACTTGTTCTTCCGTTATTTCTTTGAATGGTTGGTTTTTGTATTCGCATTTGAGTTTCAGATTTGTATATGATCCATCAAAACCTCGATACAATGACTTTCTCGCTGGGCTTTAAAGCATACACCAACAAGCAGGATCTATCCAGATACGAAGAACATCGTATCAGAACTCAAAGTTTATTATCTTGGTATGTGTCGCTTCCAAGTTCAAAGTCAAACAACATACCTGACTCACACATTGAGGGTCAGAATGAGAGATACTGTGGCCTGTTGGCAAATTTTGTGGGAGAAGGAAGGTTCAAGTTCATAGAACTATTTCGTAGCTTCTAGGGCTGCTTATTTTATTGCTATATTCACACTACCTAGGTTATTGATCTACTCTCATGGAATAACTGATAATTACTTCAACCAATTGATCAAAACCCATGAAACCTCCCTCTGACGTCGTAAACTATTCTTCAAGAGGAGCAAATGAGGTGGAATGTATGTACCGGGACCAGCATTTCTACTTACGGCTTTGCTCAAATCCACCACACTCTTGGGATACTATTCCAAATCCACCAACTTATCACAAACAATCTCGTCTTTCCATCCGGCTATCGATTTTCATCGTGATCCTCCGACTAGATGGCATGCAGATCCCGAGCACCAATAAATCAATCAACCTTAGATCCCTTAACCAGCTATTCTGCCGACCATGCTTCCCATTCATCACTATCTTCGGTCACTCGTTCAAATCATAGTCCGAGTGCTTTGAAAACAGAGTCTAATCCCCAGCTCTGGATAACAAGTGCCGGTGGCTTGCTTCGTCTGGCATAGTCACCGATCACTTCATTCCACTTGACAGTAATCGCATCCTCGTCCCTGATAACTATCTTCAATCTATCAGGTTGCTCTATTGGATAGGGTTTGTCGTAGACTATGACTCGAAATAGTGTAAATTCAGATAATGCCCATTCAGAATCGACCACTTCGTACCGTGTGGCGTCTGCCTTGTCTGAGCTCGTAATGATAAGCTTAAGAGTCTTTAGTGATGCCACAATCTTCTCTCTCCTATAAGTGTAACTTCGCGCCTCTTGACTTTCGGGAAAGTCCGACTCTATCGTACTCGACTAAGTGTCTGGTAACTGGTCATTCCTTAGACCATGAAGTTTTGTGACGTTCTTATCCATAGAGCTTTCTACTTAGCCATTTTTGCTATGGATTGTAGGTGAGCTCTGGAGTTGTGGATGCAATATACCAGGTTGGAACGATGTAGATTTTCTCGAACGAGGAAGCGCAGAACGTGTTGGCGGTACCTTGAACTCTTTCGGAGGAAGATTCTTAAGACTTCTGGCCTTTGCCTTGGAGTTTTTTTCTGATAGCTTAAGCTTCGTGTCAGGCTTTTCGAGAGTGGAATATGTGCGCTTCAGTGTATCTGATGCAGCAATCTTCGTACCTCTACTTGAAAGTTAATGTTAGCTTTTTCTCTCGATAGAGCACTGCTAGCCTATCTAGTTAGAGATAGAACTTACCTCGAAACTGAATCATCTCAGTCTTTGCCGTCATACTGGTTGTAAGAGCAAACTTTGGAATATTCCAATTCATTAGAGCTGTCAAGGTCAATAGCCCTAACTGACTGCCAACTTTGGGAGAGTGTATAGGGTGTGCCAGTGGATTCGATGGTATCTTTCTACCTTGATATTAGCCTGCCAATCTATGTAAAAGTAACACTTTATCTCACCCAACAGATAAAGGTGCTGTAGTAGCACTTTGAGATGCGTTGAGATAATATTCTAGAACTAAAGATAATAAAACAGGGTCAATAGCCCTGGCCAAAGTCCTCATCATATTCTCTCCCAGCTCTGACAGGTCTCGTTCAGACCAATCTTTTTCACTCGTATTTGCGAGTTCCACAACTTCTGATTCCGATTCCTGAGCCCATCCAACTATTTTTCCGTCTGATCCTTCTGATTGTCCCAGTGATCTTTGTGAGCTGGCCATGGCTGAAGTCAACTTTATCAAGAAACTGGGTAGATATGACGCGAAATCTTAGTTATTTTTGTGATAAAAAAAATCTGTGTGCTTCAAGAAAAGTCTCATGATTTCTTCGCATAGCCGCTTTCCAAGTTTATTTGGTCTTATTCACTGATTTTTTCTTTTATATGCCAACATAATTATTTCATGACATAATCCACCGAACAAAGTCATAACAAGCTTCATTGAAAATGGAACTATCTTCTTGTCTACCAGATAGGACAAAGACAATTCAAAGGGACAATGGAAATGCATCAGTATCCAGCAGAAATTCGAAGATCTGCGCAAATTCTGAGCCTGATCAAGGAATATGCGATAGTTCGGATACGCAGCCAAAAAAAGACACTTACTTCAAACACTCGACTGAATACTCATGAAAGGAACTGATATCATCATAGATTTTACCTTGAAGCTTCATGTTTTTCGACCAACCCAGTATTCAGAACAGTCCTTAATGAAGCTTGGGCAGCGAACGATCATATGACTGAGCCCGCTGATCCCAACGATTTTCCACAGAAGGAGGACCTCAACCAGCAGACCTCCATCTCCCACAGCAATGAAGGATTGAACAACGCTATCCCAAATATTCTTGGGACTGGCCCTGAAGCTTCTCAGAACAAGATGGCGAACGGTCGCGTAATGGCGTCTGCAATTCTCGGTCTCAATGGAAAGCCGTTAAGAATACGCACAATAAAGAAGTCGAAGCTTAGGATGGCCCGCGAAGCAGAATCTCGAACAAAAATAGGTGAGAGCACGATGAGTTTAAGTCGAGCACAGGACTTGGGAATTGTTGGTACTGATGGAAAAAAAGTCTTCAGTCAAGCTCAAGGAGAAGATTATTAGGTGCATGGTTTTGCAAAGTTTGTGGTAGAAATCAAAGTACATGACTCGGATTTGAAAGATGTATTGTGATCTGTGTCTCAAGGATAACAGCGTGGAGTTGATTATATGATGCAACGTTTTTAGTTCTCAGAATGATGCCCTTATAAACCGAGATATATCCCAGTTCTTGAAATACATTCATCTCTATCTTACTGCCAAGCTATATTAATGAAATGTAAGCGTCTGGGATTTAATTTAATGTAATACCGTGAATCGGATTTCCCTCTGCAAGAATCCAAGAAGATCAACAATTCCCATAAACGTGGTAAAGTTGAATGTGTTCTACTTGAGATACTTATTAATAGTGATGAAAAATAGAGGGAAATAGCATGATGTTACGTCAGTAGATGGCAATAAGAAGTAGTGGGTGTATGGACTCGTGGGACTGTCTTCAAAGTGCGAAGAATCATAATTGATCCAAGCATCACTTGACATCCATAAAATCACACTAGTAACTGGCTACTTGATTTCAATTTTTGCTGCAAAGTTTCAAATGTTTTGAGAGCATGCTTCAAAAACTAATCTTAGGTGCGAGTTTCTCGTCCTCTCACGAATTCCTGCTCCTATTTTCGAAAGGATGATAAATTAATGTTCTATTTCGAAAATTGAATTTATACAAGATACCGTTCGTCAGTAACACTTTTTCCTTTCAATCAGGACTTCCTTCTTAAGATAACAATGCTAGGACGTTATTCAATACTTTGCCGTTGATCAATATGAAGCTAAACTTCGCTGTAGACGAGAAATTTTGTGTAGAAGGAGAGATCGAAATGATTAGTAGTAGATTGGACTATGAATCAATTTTAAACAACCTCGGTGTCAAAATTGATCCCCTTAGAGTGACGACATGTTGATTGTACTTGAACTTGATGCTCCTGCGATGAGCGAGACTTTTGTTTTAGGTTCTGAACAGGGTTGAGTAAAACCTTAATGTACCCATATAGTTATCCCTCTTGCTTAGCGTATGAGACGGTCTTGAGTATTTTGAAGCATCGTGAAATCATCTTAGATTAATTTCGGAGATGTCTATTCTAGATGTGTCATCTAGAGCCCGATTCTGAGACCATCTGTACAACCGAGCCGTATACTGGGGCACTAGAGTACTTACGTAGTCAACTAAACTTGATCTATGAGTCACATGACTCTAACTCGTATTGAACAGGGTTGAATATGTCCCCATGTCCAACGGCACCTCGAACTTCCAATAAATTCCAACGTGTTAACAAATCCATCTATTAAGACTGACAAATGCTTGTACCACGACGCCCTAGCTCACAGTAATGATGGAGTTCTCTTTGGAAATCAAAAGACCTACCGTCGCCCAAAATTTGTAAGTCGCGTCTTGCTGTTCTTAGCTCAAGAAGATCCAACTTCTTAGTAGAGATTGAGACATGAGCTAGCAACTATCAGCCTTCATTTCACAAAAGCTAACAGTTGACATTGTTTTAGTGCCGCAAGAGAAGACCATCAGCGTTCGAAACTAATCACCTTCCAAGCAATATTTACCAAGAATGATAAGGAAAAAATGAATATGACCCAGGCATCGGAGGCCATCATATTCGAGAAGTTACCTTTGATTCAAGCGCTATTCAATTCAAAGCTTAATGGGATATTGAAAGACGACGAAGATCAGATCTGTTATGATCCAGAGCACGCAAGAACGCAAAGGCCCGCGTTCCCCAAAATCCCGGGGAAAACAGTCTACATGTACAATTTAATCCAGTCGAGCTTCAAAAACCAAGGACGGGAATACGAACAAATTGTGAAACTGAATATTGGAACGCTTTGGACAATGATTGAGTGCCTTGTACGCTTTTTGGATGGGAAACCTTTACCTCCCAATTCCAAGATGGGTCTTATGGAAAAACATTGGGATCTCGAACTGATAGGTATTGAAATATTGGCAATATACCTTGGATGCACTGAGATAAATGATAGATCTGTGCGCAACGCATTGGTTTCATATATGCGCCGGCTTCCTACGTCTAGACTCACAAACTCTAGCAGTACCTCGGAGAAGGCATCCGAAACAACGAACCATGCGAAAATGTTTAATGGGAACAACTCCAGACAAGCTGAGGTCATTGACTTGACTGAAGATGATCATATTGGTACCCCAAGACTTTGAAGAAGAAAACGCAATCAGCACCCAAGTCACAGAAGTTAAATATAGGCCAGTTGGCTTCCATTCCAAAGAGTTCGGAGCTGGAACCTGCACCAGCTTCTACATTTAAAAAGTCTCGTCAAACAGCTCAGCCAAAATTGAATTTGCAGAAGCCGAAGATTAGGAACCAGCCAGCTGCTACTCTGCAAAAATCGAAGAACTCAACGCAATCGAAGTCAACTTTGCAGCGACAAAAGAAGGCAACGCGACCATCTTCCACTCAACAAAAAATAGATCAAGAGCCAAATTGGATCGCCACTTCCCAGACGTCAATCGAGGTAACTCGATCGAACTTCACTCGTCAAGGTCCGCGATCTATACCGATCGACGCTTATATTAGTCTCAACGAAACATACGGTTGCTTTCTTCATGTGCACATAGGTTCAGCAATGAAGGGCTCAGGACTGATTGGCCGACTTCTGCAGGACTTGCACATGGGGCTCTTTAATACCGGAGATATGTCGAAAGTCGTTGGGAAGGGTCGCAACGGGAAACCTATGTTGATTTGGGATGAAGTATTGGAATACTTTAGCGTGCCTGGAAATGTGGTGGAAAATATGCTATCATGGTGTGAAGATGATCGCTGGACGCCAATGGTGATGTTTATTGAGCGGTGTCAACTGGATCGTGCTTTGTGGCAAGATTGGGACGAGCGGGATTTAGCTCTCGCCAAATATTTCGACATGTTTGTTAAGGCAACTCCTGTGGTGAAAGATATCTAAGCTGATTCTGATTTCAATCTTGACTCCATATTCTGGACCTCCGTTCCGGTTGAGCGATCAACGTTATTTATGGTAATGATAGGAGTAAGATGGTTGAAGCTCTTTTCGTTAGAGTAAGGGGGGAATACGGTCAGGCGAATGGGGGTAGCGTGCAAGAATATCATGACATGTTCAGGATTTTGATAAGAAAACATAATATGACTTTCATACAGAGTCTTTGACAGCAGCCTTTTATATAATTTTGTATCCAGAAGAATCTAAGACTGTTTAGTGAGTGACAAATGAATAATAATTACATTTAGTTCAGAATCTTAGAAAGAGAGGTTGCGCTCAAGCTACTAGATGCATATGGTGGCTTGCTTAAAGTCCCACTTAATCATTACTAACGTAGACTGCCAACTCTAATTTGACTTCACCTCATTATCAACTTGAGAAAATTGCAACAGAATCACCCTCTGTGTCAATACTAACTCTTAAACCTCATTAGAATTGATGCATTAGTTTTACCAGACTAAACTTGTCATTTTGAAACCGTAGAGATCAGATGTGCGTGTACAAAAGGCCTCTTGTATTTCCATGATTCCTTGCTCGATTTGACTCCCTTCGAGACCAGAGAAGCGTCCAGCAAAAGATTGAGTATCCGATAAAGGAGCAATACTATGCATGAGCTCTGGATTGAAAACTCTCCTCATTCTCACTAATCTCCCTTCTCGTAATCGTTCAAGGCTAATCGTTTGGCACCAGGTGTAACGATCTTCCCATCTAGTATCCATACCCACGTCCATATCTAAAACCGCATTCATCTCCTAAAGATCCAGTATTTCGCATCTGCGGAGGCAGTCACGTTCCGTCGCTCTGGAATATATCAGTGAAATACATGGTTCCTGCTATGGAATAGAAGCAATAGTTACCCAGTTCTGCAGCCACCATCGCTATCGCTAGAAGTGTTCGTAATTACAATTGTCTATATCTCGCTCTGTGCTTTAACCTTCTCAGACTCCCGTTTAAGTGCTTTGCGCACTTCAATTTCCTCTCTATAGTTTCGCTTTGCTTCTTTTCTTATTTCAAGAAGATGAAGTTGATTTGTGACATCAGGAAAACCAAGTAAGCCGCCTAAAATAACCACGTCTTAGACGCATGATATTGAACAAGATATTTGGTATCCTTTAGTCATCCTATGAAAGTTTCGGGTGAATGAAGGGAGGAGGCAACTCATTTGAAGCTGAGCCCTCTTCCTACGCCATCTGATTCGACTTTGTTGATTACTCTTTACAACCCTACCAATTGAATGTCCCACAGGGTGAGTAAAAAGTGTACAATACTTCCAGAAGTATTAGGTAGAAGTTTATGCTTTACTTTTACGGGATTCTTTTGATACTGCATCAGATGAAAGAACGCCCAAACTACCATCAAAGAGTCTATTGCATTCGCTGGTTCTTCCAGTACATATCTCCCCTCGAAGTCCTATTCTGACTTCATTCCTCGAAATTTTCAGGTCTGGTAAACCGCAAAAATTTGCTGGAATAACTAAACTTCCGTTGACGTCTATATAAGTATGCGTTTCGGAATGACAGTCTATCCCTACCAATTAAGCCACCAATGCGACAACCACCCCCCCCCCCCAGATTCTCAGTGCACAACTAAAACGCTAAGGTGTAATCGGATGTGCTTTCGAACTCTTACTGCATCTTATTGACTGCGTAGAGAGCCTGTCACTAGTCTACACTCCCGGTCTCCCATCGCATTCCATTGGGAAACAACAGCTCCAGCTGTTGGTACTTCTCGGAACTCGCCACTCTCAATTCCCTTAATTGGCCCACTCTCGATATGTAAAATATCCTCGGGGTTTATTGCTTCAGTATCGTCGTGGTTCATCACTGCTTTCTGCTTCAACTCGCGCGTATGGAGGAACTGGATAAGTAAGATGGCAATGAGAGCTGCGATGACAAATCCAAACGTAGCTAGGAAGCCACGACCTGTTTGAAAGTTAACAGCTGTCCTCTGGTGAAAAGGCATTCAAGGTCACCTACGAAATGTGGGTGCTTCGGTCTGCGGAAATATGACAATTGGAAGCCATGCCGCTACCTGTGTTTATACGGGTGAGTAATTTTACCGAAGCTGAACAGTCAAAGATACTGACAGCGTATTGCAAGCCATTCATACTGCTTAGAACAATAGCTCGCTCCTCGCTATCTCCTGCACATATCTCATTTGCCCATGTGTAACTAATAGTACGATCTGCAATCAGAAGTCGTACATTGAAAAAGCTGGCGGAAATACAAACTTACAAAACTGCAGTCATGATTTGAATACCATCCGTGAGAAAAGCAAACTCTTTCAACTTCACGCTTTTCGGCCAAACGGCAAGAATGCCATTGGGGATTAACCCATAACTCTGTGTCGATCAACAATTGGACTTCATTGTCCGAGCTGAGCTTGTAACTTACTAATGGTCCAATCACAAATGCAAAACGACTTCCAGAATAATCCGCACCAAAACCCCATGAAATGACACAGAAAGCAGATATCAAACTGGCACCCGATGGAATAACGTTCCGCGAAGTGACAGAGAACTTCTCAGCTTTGAGCCAAATAGCAAAATAGCTACTTGCTGCACAACTCGTTCCGTACAGCTAATTTGTTGAATTAGTGAGTGGAACGTGCGTCACTTAGATCAACTTACAATGTAGCCCAATACAAGTGCATACCATCCTGTTGGAAACATCAGCAGTCTGATCATACATAATCGTAAGATTTTGGTCTGATATACTCCATCTAGTGAACATGCGTCTAACTTTGGCCCATGTTATTGGTACAGGGGCCGCTTTTCCAGCCTTCTCGACTCGTTCAATTGCAAGCGCACATTCATTTTTCGTTAAATACCAGGCGCGAGTGGTATGGGGTGTATCCGGGAGAAGAAATATTGTTGCAAACCCAACAGGAAGAGTCATAATCTATGGATATGTTGAATAAAATATCCAAATAAGATTGTGGAACGCTTACCCCACACACGATATAGAGCCATCGCCAGCCCGCGAGCCCATGGCGTCCATTAAGATTTGTGTAAACAGCAGCTTGCTAGACTTTTGTGAGTTTTAGAAAGTTCAGGAGCTGAATTTGCTTACCAGATAGCCGCTGAATGCCGTTCCCAGCGGTGCAGTCATGTGAAATATAGCGATACGCTTCGCTTATCAAAGAAAAGAAACATCAGATACTTGCGGTATCGGGTTAGATTATGTCTTGAGACTTACCGAGCTCAGTTTTGGTGTACCTGTGTTATTTTATTGTTAGTTTCTGGTTTGAGCATTCATGGTAGGGCTTACTTACCACGAGCCAAGTATAAAGAGCATACATGGGAAGAATGAACTTTCGAAAAGCCCAACAAGAAATCGAAAGGTATACAGCTGTGGAACACTGTGCATTCCAGCTTGTGCAAAAGTAAAAGTTCCCCATCCAATTTCCATGAGACCTAGCCAGTAGCTCGGTCGTACTTTTTGAATGATGAGAGTCGATGGTATCTGCATAATAGCATATGCGCAGGTATAGAAAGTTCCCTAGGAAATATCGTGAGCACTAGTTTGTGAGAGCAATAGTGGATACATAGACTCATGAAACGATCAGAGGGCCGGAAAGCGTCTTATAGGTTTATGCACCCAGTGTTGAAGGAAATCAAAAGTTCTAGGGCTCACAGCATAGGTGTATTGATTGCCGAACATCTTAAGGTCCTCTTGCATACCACTATTGTGAGGCTTCAAGTTAGATCATCCGAACACGAGATGGAGGGCATGAGTAGTCATACCTAACATAGGCATTGGTAAGATTGTTTTGATCGAGGTATTTCAACTGACGATGGTCAGTTTCAGAAAACTTTCAACAACTACCTAGAAAGGCATGAACTGATAACTCTACTTACGAAAAAGCCCAAGCATCCAATACTGAGAATAGCAGCATCAAGCTTCCGCAGAAGCTTTCGCTCTTCAACAGACTTGAGATGTGTGTCGGTATCCCATATAAACGACCGAAACTTTCCAAGAAATGTCAATAATCAATTACAACATCAGATGTTGAAGGGACTGACCGACTGCTTCGCTGTAACCTGTGACATCGTTTCGTGAAAGAATTTGAAAACACTATAATGGACCCTGCGTTCACAAGAAACAGAACCCTGATATTAAGATAAAGCAAAATCTGAATTGAATGGCTACAACTTACCTTATATGCGTTTGTGACGTTGCGTGCTTGAATTTTGCTATCACATCATTTTTTCAACACCAATGGCTGCATCTATGAAGCATCACATTGGCTCAAGGTACACATCCTTGATGTGCATTCTACCCATGACTGCGGGGCGATCTTTTCATATCGCACCCCAGGGCTAATAGCGATCTGTAAGTATTTAAAGCGAGGGTAAACTCTAATATCTATGAAAGGAGAATCACAGCCAAGAAGAAACATGAATTGAGATGCAAGATCATCTCTAAGAATGGGCTGGGAGTTGATATCGACTTGTACCGGGGTCAAAGCACAAGTATGAGAAACAAACAATGCTACCTATTTTGCGACCGCAATAAATTCACCAAAACTTTCATTATTATTTCAAGATTAAGCCAGCTTAGCAGAGTTGAAAACAAGTTGATACGTTCCCTGCCTCCTTGAACCATCCAACTTCAGAACCCCCACGTTCAGCAGCCCCTCCAAAGCGGCCGCATCTTCCGCCACGCTAACATCCATCTCTACCATAAATCTCCTCAATCATCACGATGTCGCCATCCCAGGTCTGAAATCACGTTTTGAACTTCGTCCGCAACATAATCGTTTTCGCGTATTCTTTTACTTTGTGCCTCGTCCACCGGCGATAAACCTGATCGCAGAGCTCTCTTATTTACAAGAGAATCACCTGTTGAAAAACAATGGTTAGTCGATCAAAATATGTTAACCACGCGCAGAGGCAGCCCAGTGGTCCAGAATTGAAGACCAGGTCAAGTATCTTGAATTTGAAAGCAATTTGATGGTCGACTCATATTCGACAACTCAAACCATTCGAATATTTCAAGTCGACCCAGACCTTCCAGTCCCGTAATGTCAGACTGCAATCCCGATTACTGAAGTCCTGCATAACCGTACAATGATAATCGATCTTAAATGCTTACCGGTTTCAATAGAATGACTATGGTATTCCTTCAACCTATGGTTACGGTATCTCTTCCATAGAAGAGCAATTCCCTCTATGTTCGCACCAAAAAAACTGCCAAGCATACAAACTTCATCCAATTCTGCCTCAGAAGAAATCCGCTCCTCAAAGGATTTTCCATCGACAAGCAATACCCAAGTTCTTGTATTCAGCCAAATCTTCTCAATACTCCATCCGCAAAGTATTCTTATAACGTATGGAGACTGAGAACCTCGTATTGCATGAAAATAGGTAGAGTCTATCAAGGTAGCCAAGTAGATGATTTTTGCTTTACCAATGCATCTTTTTTTGTTTCGGGTATATTCAGGGTCATAGATTGCCTTGTCATCCGGATCTGAAAGCATCCCGATTCGTTTTCCATTGAATGCGAAACCTGCGAAAGGACACATCTGAAAGAATCTCTCTTCTCCCACAGTGATAAACTCTGGGAATTCGGTTTGCGCCAGATATGGTACATCTAAAGTCTCGTGCCTTTTGAGAAAGTAGATTCTTCGGTCTTTCAGCGGAGGCATTTGTGAAGTATCCCTATATTACAGGTAGATTGTTAATGGTCTATGTTTCAACATCATTGACTAGATATGGAAGGACAAACTTACGACGTACTAGGTATCGGCTTCTTTGACGTGTTCAGAACAGATTCAATTAAATGAGTCAATATATCAAGAAATATTTATATTTCAATTTTTGCAGTGTTCTGTTAGTCTGTACACCCACTGGTGGACCCTTTGCAAAAACATACAAAATACTCATCCGAAACTTTGAAAAATGCAGAAAGAAAGCTACCTACAAAAGCTTCAAATTGAATTGCTGACTAGCGAAATAATAACAGGATTGAAAGTTGGAAAGTATTACCGAGTTAAACTGAAGCTTCCAAACTAAATCATTAGTTTTCTACTAAAATTATCTAGCTCCCGCATCTTCCGGCTTCCCCGGGTATTTATACCAATCCAACATCTCTCCGAAAAGTACGGATAGATTAGGACTTAAAATTTCTGCATCACAGTCTTACAATGTTGCAGTAGGATCACGAGCTGTAATGGATTTTCACATAGCCAAGAAGATTCATCGGAAACTGTGACGACACGATATTGATAAACTGAAAGATCAACGTCGAGTTAGATATCGAACCGTTTAGGACTGTTGTCAAATATCTTATTCCTCATGAAAAGGGAGTCGAGGAGTCAACCAAGGAGAACGCACATGAGTAGGAGGTCATTTCAGGCACTTCAAGTGAGCATCGAATCGTACTAGGAATCACCAGAAATGGATGGTCTGGGGACTCTATTCTCGAATCGGAAAGTCTTTATAATTTGGTATATAATGAGCTACTAACGAAAGTTCTATTTGAGAAGATAAAGAGAATACCTCATCCACCCGCCATATTTATGAAATATATGCTATTGATCGAAAGAAAAAGCCACCGAGCCGTTAAATAACCCCATGGCTTCAAGTATATACAAAGGAATCGAATAAGTTGAAGGTATGTAAAACAATCTGAAAGAATATACAAATGTGAGGCAATGGATAACATCTTTGAAGCATCGGTATGATAGGCTGAAGCTCAAAAATCGTCACCCTCACCACTAGACCGGAATCTAGTTGGGATTGCACTGTGAATACCAGATGCTGTATGCGACACAAGTCGTGCCAGGGACGCAATTAGTAGCTCCAGTCCAGCCCTGTCCACCACATTGGTTCCACTCATTGACAAGTGGACCGCTAGTCGAAGTAGGGCTGGCGCTAGTTGTTGTTATGGTCGTGAGAGTAGAGCCTGGAGTCGTTGTTGTGGCGGAAGTAGTAGTGGAAGTGATCGAAGATTTGCTGGTACTAGTGCTAGTAATAGTGCTAGTTGTGACTGGTACAGTTACCGCTGGCTTTCCGAGATCCGCATTGACCGCATCGAGAAATCCGGCATTTGCGTAAAGTTGGCTCATGTCCCACATCATTACGCCGCCAAAACTGGAGAAACTCTTTGAGTATGCGATGACGCTCGCAAGAGCAGCCCCAGAAGTGTAACCAGCTCCAGCTCCAGTGTTGGATGGTATGCCTAGCATGACTTTGACGTTAGGGTTTAGGGATACTGTCTTGGCCCAGTTGTCCCAAGTATCGAAATTAAAGTTATTCTGTGTTGATACACCGGAGACGAATGATTGTACTCCGCAGTAGTTGTTGTAAAATTGCACCCAGACGATATCGAATGACACTGTTCCAGCAAGCATTGGCCCATCTGCTGCATCAGGGTAGGGACACTGTGGAGCAGCGGATAAAAGCCATGTTTTGTTTGTATCTGTATCCATCAACGAGCGGAGCTGATCTCCAAATGCAGGCATATTGGATACCGTGCTTTCAAAGTCAAAATCAAATCCATCGATTACAGCAGTTCCGAAAGGTCGGATATCACCTGAGGTATCAGGTCCAAACCATGACCATAGATTATTCGCAGCGGTTGTGGCAGCTTGTGTGGATGTGAAACCACCCTCAGTATAAGTGGCCCCGCCAACTGAAAGCAAGATTGTCTTGCCATATGTTTCTTGGCATGTGGTAATGTCGGCTCTAGATTGGATGTTTAGAGACGGTGTTAAATAAGGAGCTGAGAGTTTATACTTACTCGAGCTCCGAGCAGTAAAATAACGTAGATCCCGAAATTACCGTGCATTGATCTCCTTGGTTGGCAAAGTTGAGGACTGGCGTATTGATAGAACTCAAGAATGCGAGGGGAATGATCTGCAATATTTGTTAGAAACTTAAATGGGGATTTCTTTGAGAGCATGTCCGTACGTTGATTTCCGAATCTTTATCATGTTAGCTTTGCTAATATCTATCGTTCGGCTGAGGGAACTTACTTTGACAATAATATGAGAGCCGTTGCTGAACGTAAGCTCCAGAGCCCTGTCCATATGAGTTTTGTCCTTTTCTGAGTTAATACCAAATTTGCAGATAATGCTAGAGACGTTCAGGCAAGCTCACCCCAATAAACGGCAACATTACTCTGCGAGGTCGGATCAAAGCCCGCCATAACAGAAGGAATACTAGCAATAATGCCTGCAAGAGAACCGAGTGCAGAGAGCGACGGCATGATTGAAGAGATAGTTCGAGGTCGATTGTGACTGTGAGGTCTAGAATGAACTCAGTGAATCTTTAGAGTTTCGAAAAGTCCGGCTATCGAAAGAGTCAAGTTTGAGTGAAGTCTCGTTGTTTATTCGAACCACTCTTTGGGAGGTATACTCGAGCTTCTTATACTCACGTCTGTTATTTTCACAACCAACACTCAGGCGATTACATAGCAGTGGATTTGTGGCTCCTCTCAAGGTGACCACACGTTACTCAGATAATTGAGTTTAACAAACAGCAACATGTCAATGAGGTTGCAATCAAATAACAACTTTACATTGAGTTCTTGGAGGTAAGAGGTCAAACGACAAAATTGACAATTTCCCAAAACTGGGATTCCCACATTCCAACCATTGACGCCCACGTCCATTTCTCACGGAGGTAAGGGGTTGTCAAAATGACTTCTCGATAAGGAATTCAATATCCGCGAGGTTCTACTTAGTATCTACTTTTGACTGAAAATGTGATATAACACTCTCCTCGGGAACAAGAAAAAGTTCCAAAAATCATCACGGGCGCGGAATTTGAAGGAAATTAAGGAGTTGAATCCTGATAGATGGTGGTTAGGTTGCATGTGAGAGACATCTGGAATTACCTTTCCCCGGCACATGCAAAACATTGAATATCGAAATATGGAAGGTGCCCTTCCTCTGGGTGATAAAATGCCCGGTCGATCGTCAGGGGTACAAGATTGCCGATAAGCCACTTGGTGGGATGAAGGAAAAAGTGGATTTACCCCAGCGGTTAGGAGAAAACGACTTCAGCTTGAAGGGCTTCAATGAAACGAATGATAAAAAAGCTTATTGTAACGTTACTCGGTGACCTGATCAGTCATACTGTATACACTCGAGTCGGCCCTCGACAACATTTCGGAATATATGTCAAATGTTTCAATCTGTCCATTTCGGTCAGAAGACTTCTGCCGAAGGAATGAATGATCAATTTTACCCACAGTTCTTTGCGATAAGCAGATAAGGAAATGTACACAGTTCGCGTGGAACAAGAAACTTTGACTGCTTCCTAGTAATGCTTCGTCATATCCGTGTTCCACGAGATGATATCTTTCCATCGTGATGAATCTTAATAGTCAGGCGTGTCTAGTAACCTTCCATCGGAACCCCAGTGGATGAGAAATGAGGTACCAACGACCTCAGGAAGAACTTCGGCATTAATTCGGACGCTAACCATTTTCGAGGTATTGACATCCCCCTATATTTTGCAGCCAACGGCACGTACCTGAGTCTTTGGGGCTTGAAGTAGAAACGAAATATAACCACAAAGTCCAAGAGTTGGAGAGTGCTTTCGGTAAGGATAATCTTTGGCGTGGTCGGTATTTGAAAAGACATGTCGTAAATACCGGCATCAGATGAGCTTGTACCCCATAATGTTTAAGATCGACGCGTCACTCTTCCACGTGAGATGAGAAGGTGCACTCACACACAAATACTGCTGATGCAACAACGTCCGTGTAATCAAAAGCCGAGTATTTAACTGATCGATACTGCCGGTGCTTACATCAAAACCAGACCCATGTGAAAGCTTTCGCAGACGGCCATTCTGATCAGGCTTAGTGGGCGATTGTATGCCTCAATTGTATGGCCCCAAATTCTGGAACATTCATTGTGTAATCACCGATCAGTCCTGGTGGTCTGAGTATGAGACAAGGCGACAATTCAGCAAGCTTGGAATCTTGGATGTAAATATATCTTTACTTTGCTGGGAACACCAAACTTAGAGTTTGAAGGCAAGGTATGCTCCAGTACCTATGTCAGTGTGTGATCGTGGCTCCGTGATCGATGACTAATCAAACTTACCTCATCGCTAAACTTCACGTCCACAAATTGCACTCGAAACATATTTTACCTGACAACGTTCAGGAGCTAAGGTTACGACACTTATTAATCTTTCCGAAAATGGGCTTATTTCTCATTTCTCTAAATGTTTCAGGAGTCTTTTGCTAGCATCGAGTATCATACTTCCCACCATGGAATCCCAAAAGAAAATCCACTAATCGTAAGTCAAATGAAAGAAACATTCGTCATATAACAAAGACCAATATCAATGCATTTTGAGACTTGATGGCCGTTAAATCCACCAGCCAAAGTTTGATCTTCCATTTATGCCTCCGACTTTCTTTTTTTATTGAGGGAGGAGGCATCGAACGGAACAAAGTCGTTGTTGCTTTCACACAACTTCTACGGTATCTGCGCTTCTAATCCGAAAAGACTGGTGACTGTTGCCGGAAACTCAGCACCAAGATACAGTCGAATGATATGTCTACTTACTGTCGTTATCGGTTTCATCGTTGCAGATATCTCTAATTGAGCTTTCTGTCATTCCTAGGAATCTACCCATGTTGACCATCTCCGTCTTCTCCATAGCTTCCACCACCTTCTCACAATTCTTGGCACCTTTCAGCCTGAATCCAATGCGTCTAACTGCTCTGAATGCCTCCCAGTCATTTAAATCTTTGACCTTGTCATACCCATCCAGCCTTTGGGCGAGCCTGGAACGCATGAATCTTGTAAAGTAAACACCGACATGGTGGTAGGAAACTTTCTGGAAGTTGGTATTCTGAGGATCGTACACAAGACGTTGTTCACCATCTTTACGGGGTAAAGGACTGTGACCAAGGAGATGCAAGATGACTGGACATTTTTCGCACAGAACTTTCCACGGAAATCTAACCCAATTATTGTTCATAGCTAGTTGGTAAGCCAGAGGCTTCATAGGATCTTCGTCTTTTGCTAGGAGGATGATATGCGTGCACGCCGCTCTATCTCGACCATCGTTTCTAGAAATGCGACCCATTAGTCTGTGATTGGTGGAGATCGAGTTACAAAATTGAAATCGCACTTACACACTGCCATCTGATTGACAGACACTCATCCCTGGAATCGTCGGAACCATAGAAGAAGACTTAGTGGGATGATCCTTTTCGAAAGTTTGAGCGTCATTTGACGCTGCGACTACACGCTTAATCTTTAAGGAGCAGTTCCGGACTTGTTCGAGCAGTGACTCAGAAATTGCTTCATCGTTCCCAAGGTACAACAGCTCAACTTCTTTGGCAACTTGTTGATTCAAATGTATAAACGCACCAAGAACATCCTCACCGGCTGGTGGAGCCATCGTGATCAATCTTAAAGTGAAGAATTCTTTGCTTTAACTTAGCGCAAAGTTGCTGTTCCGTTGTAGGAATGAAGACGATTGAGGATTTTGATTGAGCTTTGCATATGACTTGGAAGGACAAAACAATGCGAAGTTTATTAATCAATGAGGTGCAGTATGAAGCAAATTTTTTGACATTGCGAATACCTTTGAGCCATAGATTACACAGATGAAAGCGGGCTAGTCACACGCAGTCATTGAAACATTTGGAAGCACGATGGAGGAGTATACTTGAGATTGCAGCACAAGTTTTACCAAGCGCTGTCCACTAGTGGGTGTATGGACTGACGAGACACTGCAAAAATTGATTTCGCAATATTTCTTGCAAAACTGGTCTCCCTCTCCTAGAATTTGTTCCAATTGTTCATTAAAAATTGAACAATTGAAAGATGAATGTAAACGGTACTACAGAATTCTTGAAACCAATAGCAGTGATAGATACAGAATGACCGTCCCCTCTTGCTACTCATTTTTTATACAAGCAGTACACTGTAAGTTTTAACCGTTGGAGATATCGACTACCTATGAATCAAAGCCCAGCCACAGTAAGAGTCCGAAACGGTCCCAGCACCAGAAATATCAGCAAATCGAGCCAAAAGCCTACGACAGGACTGAAGTCTTCAGCTGCCAATAATCATGAATCGACACTGACCACACTACAGATTATTCTTCAGATCTTCTCTTCCTATCCAAATGTTTGAAGTGTGGGAAGTTGTTTGCCATGCCGGCAAATTTATTCTCTGGAGCTTTCTTGGATGGAACAATGATGTCTTTGCCCTCGTCAGCTACTGACTCGACTGGGTCGTCGAAAGAGATGAAATCGGTTCTCTCCCGAGCCACTTTCTTGACAGACACACTTTTGGAGGCCATGCGTTGACTCACTGTTCCAGACATGTTTAAAATAGGAGATTTCTAGATGGAGATCCTTACATACGGTCTTCCACGACTTTCTCAGCGATCTTCTCTTCAATTAATTCCTCCGACATCTTTAGAAATCTTGCCATAGCAATCATTTCTTCCTTCTCCGAAAAACTCATCTTTTCCTCAACACTGTCCGAATGCTTTAAACGTAGTCCCAAGCTCCTAAGTGTCTTAAAAGCTTTGTACGTAGTGAAGTGTTTGACGTGATCATAGCCACTCTGATTATTAGCAAAGTCTGAATCCATGAAGAACATGAAGTTGAATCCAACATCACGGTATGATAGTTTTAGAGTTGAGGTTGTACAAGTATCATAAACCAACGAAAAGGTCAGTGAAATTTTAAAGTGCTCAATTGATGTGATGGTACATGATCAACTTACCCTCTTCCGTTCTCATGATAGAATTGTTGGACGAGCGGCTCTGTGGGCTCGGAAATCTCGTCAGAATAGGCGAAAGTCAATCCTGGAATCTTTTGCGTTGCCAGAGGCTTCTTGACGCCCCCATCACCACTCTTTGCAGATTCCAAGGCCTTTGTGGCTGCACAAGACTTTTGGTCAACATGGAATGTCGCAAGTGCTTTTTGCATGAGCGCTGTGCCACATTCAATCTTGCTGATGAGTGAATTAGGATATTCTTCACCCTGATTGAGGTATAAGAGTCGATGTGCTTCTGAGCTCAAAATTTTATGATCGGTTGGCACAGTGGTTTGGGGTGTTCAGTCCCATTCCGCTGAGAAGCCCCATCTACGGAGTTGTAGCGGCTTCGGCAAAAAAAGCACATTGCAAAAATAGAGCTACGTGTTGTCTCACCAGAAATAACCAAAAATATCAAAAATAAACCTCAGTCTACGGATTTTAAATCAGAAGTCCAACCCCTCTCAAACACCCTTTTATCAATTTACCTTCAGACCTTTGTTTCTTTCTTCTTTTTCTCTCTCCATGTTGACGTGACTGCACAGTCTCGGTTTTGCAGCCAGTCCCTACTCCCAAACTGTTTTTTAATAACATACCTGGGATCTCTTATCCGTTATTGATGTGAGATCGCCGTATTATGTATGGTCACTGTTCGTCGTTGTTGTCTACTACGCGTCTTAAAAGTAAGCTATACCCCGCTATCAGTCTCGGGGATCAGGGACATAAATCATGGAGATTGGGTAAAAAATGGGTATCTTAGATTAATTATCATCATACTACTTCTCTCAGAGGCTAGTACCTCACAAGCTGGAAGATTAGATTAGATAGATGTTATCATCGGAATTAGATTGTGGCCTGGAGTATCGAGGGGGCACAATGGAATTGGACGATATCTCGCTTGTCATTAATACCTGAGGCATGAATGTGTGAAGCGACGTAGCTCGATACGATTAGAAAGTACCTGGGTACACTGAGCGAAGAGAAGTAGAATGACTCTTGATAGGTATTCAAAGTCTTTTTGGTTCTAGAATTTATAGAAAGTAGTCCTCAATTATCATAATATAAGTTATCACAGTAGCATTCCGTGTCTACGGAATCTCTAATTATCGAGACTGATTTGCGATCGTAGAATATTTAATAGTCCAGAGAGTAATATAATGGTAAAAATTGTCAATTAGATTATTCAAATCATTCGAGATATTAAATCAGATTGAGATATTAAACTTATTTTAGATTGCTAATTGCTTTTAGATATTCAAACCCTTGTATTATTGAATTGAAGTTCGGACTAATGAATACACTATACAATTGTATGCTTCATTCCGCAAATCCTAATATTAGAGCTAAAGATTTGAGTTTCTTGATCGTTTACGTGTATACAGGTATTCAAGAAGATAAAGCATGGATGTGGATTTGCAGTGCTTGCGTATTTCACCAGCCTGTAAAATGACCAAGAAACATATTTCTACTCCGAAATCTTCAAAGTTTTGAGGCTATCACAGGGAGGTAATCCTGATCCCCTTTCTTTCAATATTCCCTCACCCAGGAAGCGATAAACACATAATCTTGCGTGGCGAGAGGTAAACTCAGACTTGAAACGGTATATCCCATCTTCCTGGTTTAGTTCCTTCAAGAAACAAAACATCGAACTATTGTTTCAGGAAGGTTGATAAGGACTTTCAACATGATAATGAGGAATCACAGCCGTTCTCACTACACATATTACTTGCATCAGTTTCCAACTTCGTGACTCAGTGTTTGTAGATGTGCTCAATTCCAAGCCAAAGTTATGAAAGGGGGACGTTCAAGCGACCAGAGAAATATAGCATTTTCACCTTTAGATTCTGTGTTATCTGCAGTAAATACCATTAGTAACCAATAGTGTAAATCCATAGTGATGCATTTGAAATCATATTGCTATAGTAATATGTGAAAAAAAATCGCCATGTCACATTGTTCTTCTTTTCATGGCTGAATTCAAACGTATCAAGGTGCTTGAAACTTTCAATTTTGATACATCAAAACATCCCTATAGCAAGCCTCCTAATTGTTTCTTGTCTTTTCAGTATGATCCAGATTCTTCATTGCCTGCAGCCAGCACAACTTAACTGAGGGGTATTGGGCCGCGGGAATATTTCCGGGTCTTGCTCTCTCGCGTTTCAGTCAATTCGTATCGAACGCCGCCAGGACCATTTATGGTCTCGAAAGAGAAAGACTTCAAATTCGCGTTGTGGAAACAATTCCTATATGGAAATTGAGATGCTTCTACAATCAAACAAGTTAGCTGAGGTTGGTCTCCAAGCGGGGACTCAAATAGGGCAGTTTGGGATGATCCAGCATTGCACAGAAGGCAAAACCAAGCACGTGTACCCGTTGAAGCTTCTATAAATGACCGAATTTGTTTCATCGAGAAAGAGTCTAGTTTGAGAATATAGAAAGACAAACTTACTGCCACCTAATTCTGCATCTAGCATTGTTTCCAAAAATCCGCCGTGGGAGACAATTGCTATCTCATATGGCACATAATATCGGCCACGTGTCGAGAAGTCACCGTCTCTGATATCAGATATCAAGCCACGCCGAGTCAACTCTTGCACATTCCTAGCGATTTTGAAGAGCGATTGCTTGACCTGAGCAGCCCTGGATTTATCTCCGTATTTTTCTTTGTTGAACTCCCAACCAGGCTTGATGAGGCTGAAGTCTACTTCATGGCCAAACTTTTCTTGAAGCTTGGCTATTGGTGTGCCGGTACAACAGGGGATAGAGCCCCATTCTAATAAAACAAAAATCAGTCAGATTTCTAAAAACAATGGAAAATACATATTCCCGTACCACGAAGTGCATCCCAGGCCGTAGTCTGGATGGCTGGCTTTTCGCTTGAACCCCTGATTACATCTCTAAATGTAGTCAAAGCTGTTTCAATTGCGCGGATCATTGGAGAACAATAGATCTGCTTGATATTGCAATTGGAGTTGAGAACAGCTCTGACCAGTTCACACTGCCGTATGCCGTCAAATGTAAGCTTTGGATCTCGAAGCTGGCCACGATTATCAAGTTCCCCGACATTGGAATATGCCTTTAAAGTAGTAGTCAGCCTGAATTCAGGATTGTTATGTGTTGTGGACTCACTTGTCCGTGTCTCATAAAATGGAATATCACGAGACGGTCGACGCGACCTTCTCTTGGAGGAGTTGCGTGTCCTTCGAGATCATCTGTTAAAAGAGTAGATAGTCGTGGAGGCATCCATCTTGATAAGCTTCCGTCTACATGAGACAATTCGGTTGGAGTATTTGAATTCATAGCTTGTGTAGTAGAAAAATATTCTTTGTGGCTTAAAATTCCAATGTATATAATGACAGTGGAAGCAATTTGATAAAAGATGTTTCTCAACTTTGTTGATTTACTGAAATGTGTATAGAGGTTCTGAAAAAATGCAAAGCTTGAAAACCTAAGGAAGAAGTTGAATTTTTGCGTTGGGTACCCGAGTAAAGTTGAATGTCCTTAAATAAACATAGATGTTAGTACAGCAGACTCTTAGCGTCATTCGCTTATAAGGGTTTTTGTATTGATGGAAGAGTATTGGATAGCTGTAGTATCATCCACACAAAATTCAAAGTGATTGAAATGAATACACTGAGCTTCAGAGATAAATGATGCTGGAATTTGATTGAATGGCAGGGACTTTGTTGGTCTAGTGTTTTTGGGACAATGAACTTCCCCAGAAAACGTGAATGTCTCGTCGACACTTTCGAAAATTACCTGAAAGTTTACAAGGCTAGAAAATTTATGGAGCAGAAAATACGTGCACCGTAGAGAGGCTATTCTTCTAATATCTGTTTCAGATGTGGAGGCAATTCTATGAGTACTTACTGCGTACAAATTGTTACTGACTGAAAGATAAATCATTGTACGTATCCAAGATATGATTTATAAGAGGCGAAATGAACCCTCCCATAAGTGACGAGTAAGCTTTCATCCAGTGATGTACGAAGTTCTATGTGTCACGAGACCAAGCATCCTAGTTCAAAGGGCATAAAATGAATTCGTAAAAACTTCAGAGAAGATAGTTGTCCAAATATCCTTTCATTTGAGTCGATCATGACAAGCTTGAAGCAAAAACTGGAATCTTAATCACACTCAATTGTATATATTCAGAAGTGATGATTTCATGATGCAGAAGTGGATACTGGTGGCAGGGGCAACAATGAATATAGGAATAATTCAGGTCGCACTCTCAGGGAGAAATAACGTTTGATCCAACAGTTCTGTCACCGGTTGCTTGAAGTGTGGAAGCATAGGGGACGCAGCTGATTCAGTATTAAAGAGAAGTATGGTGTTTAGTGTGATCAGTTGAGACCATTGGTTGCTGAGATCTCAGTGTGGCTGGACAAACAAGATCACTGCTTCTAGATATTTACATAAAGTTTAATTTGTAGAGCTTGATTGTTGGTTAATTAATTCTCGCAATAAGCCCACAATATCAAGAGGACTGGCATAATATGTTTAGCAATTCATTGATATTGTAAATTAAGATTGTGCCTATGTACGAGGAAGCAGGGACGGATGGCTTCCTTCTTATCATCACACCGGGGGGAAGAACCATTGTGCGAAGAAAACTCAAACACCATGCGGCAAACTTGCTAAAATATGGTAAACTGAAACTCGGCGAAGTTCACAAGATTATCTTCACCGAATGATTTCTCTTGAACTCAGAGAATCAGATCATAATTTCCACCACCAATTCTTGCTACATCGAGAGACAGACCGTTTAAAGCCGACATCAACGCTTGTTCGTCTCTAGCTTGTCTTTCTCTGAGTCTTGCAGTGCGCGCTTGGTATTCCTGTTGATACACTGTCTCCCAATCTGCAGGGTTTAGTCCATGACCATAGATATCCACTTTCTCATCCGCATTTGATCTGGCGGTCTTATCGGCAGCAGCAAGCGCATTCTTGTCCCCAAGCTTGCGGCGTTCCATCAGATATTCCATGTGGTCCACTTTCCCTTCCTTCGGCTTTCTAGTCTTACGCTTCTTGACAACACCTTCCGAAAGCTTGGCTTTAGTGTTATCCCCACAATTCTTCTTGTTCTTTTCTGTCTTTGGCTTTGTATTGGGCGCGTTTATAATAGTCTTGTTCGTTTCCTTCCGTTTTCGTTTCTTCTCGGCAGAATTCTCGTGTCTCGCTCTGGAAGAAACGCTTTCAGGGATGGGCCGAGAAGTCTTCCGACCACTCGGTAATCTTGGTCCTATGAAGACTTCACCTTGGCTTGCGATTTTTTTGCTTTTGTTGATAGCTTTGTCTGTAGCGGATTGAAGTGCTCGAATGGTGGGTTGTAACATGCGTGCCATTTCAGCTTGCTGATCAATCTGGCCGGTATTGATAGATGAGTATTGTTTGCGCCTCGTGTTGCGATTGTTCAAATCGTTTATGATTCCGCCAACAGGATGATCGAGGCCTGACATGTCAACGTCATCATTCGTGTTATTGCTTCCTGACTCGACTGTCAGATGAATGAAAACAAAGCTTATAATCAAGATGTTATCTCACCTGGGGAGCCATTGTTAACTTTGAGGGTTTGCAGGTTAATGTTCAGAGAAGCAGTCTGAATTCTGCTGTTGTTTGGGTCGCGGTCGGCATACTCTGCTTGTATCTGAACAGAGTTACCTTCCATGTTCTGAAATGGGAACATAGAGGGAAATTGTTTCGCAAATATATCCATGATTATGTCCAAAGTGATTGTATGAGATTGTGGGTAGATCTTGGGTGTGTACGGTTGATGGGGAAGCAAGAAACAATTGGAAGGTATGTTTACTCATGATTTGCTTCCTGTAAAATGGCTCGCTTAAGCAAGCAACGGCAGCAAAACTTCCGCTGCCATTCACTTTCCACGTTTTGGATAATAAAAATTGCGTGTGAAAATTATGAAAGCTAAACTGAAAACCTGAAAAATCCTGATCATAAGTGTCTTCCTCACATGAGTATATGACCGCCGACAGCTTGTGGTGATTCTTCTGCTTGATGAACTCCACCAAACTTCGCCTTGTCAAGGGGGAAGACTGGTCAATGTATCTATGCCTATAGATATAATTTCAACATACTTTAAGGTTACACAGTCCTAACCGATTGCTGCCAGCCCGAAGTAGTGACCTATGCTAGGGATTCCCAGAAACCATGTCGTAAAAAGTTCGATCACCCTCAATGAAGAGCTTTCATGTATAAGATACAACTGTGCGAATGATCATTCAATACTATTACGAGGTCAAAACTGACAGTAGTAGTCTCCAGTATAAAGTAAGGAATTAGTTGATGTTTATTCAATGAAGTGAGGATAAACTATAAAACTAATACACTAGCGCCAATCTTGTCTAATCTATTGGCTTACCACAAGATAAGCCTGTGGAAATCTGCATCGCCAAAACATCAATCACTCAAGTGAGGTGCCAAAATAGTGAAAATGATTCGAAGTTTCAATCAATTCAATATTGCAAATGATTTGAATGTTCTAATTGGCTTAAAGATTTGATAATCTTCATTGTTGAACTACAGTACAGACTATTGGACACCCTGAATACGATGGGAGGTTAGAGTAACATATTTGTGGGGAATGCATGGACCCCAGTATTCTATTTCACAGGGGAGGGAAGTCAGCCTTCTCAAGAGTGACCTACACACTCTCTAAAGGCTTATCGGGTAGCAGAAGTAGTTCATATCACTTCCTTGAAACGGAATTAGATGGAGATAAGGAAGTATCTTTGTGGAGATATACTGTAAGTCCGGAGCTCGCTGTGAGATGTTGAGCTGCTGCCTCAGCTGTGTTTGATCCAAGTGTCTCTAATTGCACATATATAAATACATCAAGTAGATAATCCGTCTTTAATTATACACATCTTCCACTTCTCCTACATAAATACCTCTCCATACAAAATCTAGAATCTTTTGATCACCACAATCATGAGCAAAAGTCAACGCATTTTCATGACCGGAGCCACTGGCTACATCGGTTCCGTCATCACCGAACTTGCCATTTCAGAAGGCTACGAAGTCCATGGACTTTCTCGATCTGAATCTGGAGACGCGAAGCTACTTAAAGCCGGTGCAGTTCCAGTTCGAGGCGATCTTACCAGCCTCGATATTCTCCGTCGCGAAAGTGCGGAAGCAGATATTGTTCTGCATCTTGCGACCGCTTATCATATCACCAATGCCAGCGCGGGCTATGATGCCATTTGGCCAATTGATAAGGCGGCAGTCGAAGCTATCGCAGATGGATTGGAGGGTTCGAATAAACCACTTGTTGTAACAGGTGGTACATTATTTGTCTCGCCAGATCCAGATGGTAAAGAGACTACTGAGACTTCTCCGGAAGATCCGGATCCTCTCAATACTCGTCATCAAGCTGAAGCTCATGCTCTCGAGCTAGCAATGAGGGGAATCAGAGTTGTCGCCATACGCTTGGCACCATGGGTTTTTGGAAGAGGGGGAAGTGGAGTCAAAATATTCATGGATGTCTCCAAGCAGGCCGGAGAAGTGACGTGTGTAGATGGAGGCAAGAATTGTACGACCACTGTTTATGTTGATGATGCTGCGAGACTTTATTTGCTGGCTGCTCAAAATTCAAAATCGGGAGAAGTGTTCAATGCTAGCTCGGCTACTAATGTTACTTTCGATGAAATGTGGGAAACTATGGCCACGGCATTGAATCTGCCATTGAAATATCTTCCTACAGAAGATGCCATCGCTAAACTTGGTCCGTTCTTGACAAAGTTCATCTCGGTAGAGAATAGGGCATCAGGAGCGAAAGCTAGAGATATTTTGGGGTGGAAACCCAGCGGGTTTAGTATATTGGAGGAGATTCGTTTGACCGCTTCTCAAGGCCAGGATATTCATTGATCTTCCCAGAGATCTTGCAATGAAACAAGCATGTTGATCACACCTAGCGATAAATCGATTTGTTTTGAGGTTCAGGAGTGTACACAAGTTGAGCGGTAGTAAGTGATAAAACCTACAAGAAAAATTCATGGTCCAATTAAGCTTCAGTCTCTCGACACTAAATTAAGAACCGAATATTCGAGATATTCAAAAAGCTAAATGACACGTAGCGTAAGCTAGCCCTCAAAATTCTTACAGAGCAACTCTTCCAAAAATTGAGGTTTGCTCAACTTGTTTCCATAAGTGCTCATCAAACCAGTCCAGCTTCCATTGCATTTGCTTGTGAGCTGCTTGAATTTGTACACAAACAGTAGAACACACAGAAGATGTTATACAGTGACACGCGAGCTTTCATACGAGGCAAACTCCAAAGTGTCGACGTCCTCAATATCCAAGTTATTTAATTCCAGAAACTCTACAATATTGACATTGGGTATAAGAAGTCCTTCATGTTCCACTTTCTACACTGTTTTTTTTTAAAATCACTAGCTATAATTGCCTTAATAACCCACCTCTACTGCAAAAGAATTTCATGCCAAACTTCTCATCTAATCAGCTGATTCCGAAGCTCAATAGTAATTGCAACTCCTCCAATTTAAGATAGATATTCACATGATACCTATCAATACACAGGCATCTCTTCTGAGAAAGGCAATTTTCTTGTAGAAATCCTTAGCTTATACTTCACTACAAGGGATTCAAGCAGCCATGATAAGTATTACTAATGATTAAAAGTGGCTAGACTTCAGATGACACCGGATTTTAAGCATGATAACTATGCTATCGAGGTCACTGTATATTTCTATTCTCAGGCTTGTACCTAGGGTCCTCAGGTATAGCATTCCCCTGTCACCACTTCTTAATTGCAAGGCGTTTGTCCTCGGCTAGGACTAGCAGTTATTTATCTCTTCATGCATCGAATCGTTGAAGTACTGTAAAAGCCCCTACAATCGATGAAGGTAGGAATAGCAAGCTCAGTCTTGCCAGATCAATTAGATATGATGATTGAGTCTACCTAGATAGTTCTTGAACCCTGATCCGTCAGGGTCTCTCACATAGACCCAGAACTCCATTGGCGAGTTTTCTGGTATTATCACTCTAGACATTGGAGATAGAGCTCCAGTTGATATGTTCTAGTGAATCTGAAAAGACAATAGGAGCGATGCTTTGATATTCCCACCACCAATCTCAAAAGCTGACTAGGTGGAGATGAAAGGACTACATCAGACTGTGAAAGATCAACCATTAAAAAGTCTAGATATACCCAAAGAACCAAGAACAAAAGCACTATTGGTCTGTGATGTTATATTTCCTATAGAAAAGAAGAGATTCAAAGCTTTCTCAATAAAATTGAAGGAGGATTCTCACTAAAGTTTAGCCAAACACAGATGTTCTGTCTTTAACAAAGATCAGACGAGATCGTCCTCATACCTAACATATAACATACCCTTCAAAGCAATTTCAATAGTGTTCTAGTTTGGGAACAAAATAAACACATTATTTCACGGTATATATAATTGACAAAGTCTTCTAACATTAACCAAGTAGTTTAATCAATAGAGGGATTACGTATTGCACAATTACAAGGAAGATGGTACAGCATCCTTAAAGCTCATGTCTAGTTGTCCAATTCTCACCTTCGAAGTTCAAATCAAGTATAAACATTCACCTAACAACCACTGATCAACCAACTTTTCAATGTGGCGTCCACTAGAGAGCTCGGAAGATTACCGAGCACACAACTAGGACTAGTGCTAGCGTGGCGAGGGCTCTTGATGATTCGCGAAGTCCTGATTCTTGGTAATATCCAAGTCCTTCTCGAACTTGAAACTTTTAATTCTTTACAACAACATCAACCTTGAGAAGATATTCCCTCCACAAAACTTCTGCACTATCACAGTACCTTTTTTCTATAGGCGTCCTTCATACTTCTTCTTTCTTCCAATAAAGTCCTCTCACTCAACCACATATCTTTCATTTATCCAGACGACTTGATTACTTGAAAATGTCTTCCAACGGAGATAGAAACGATCAACTGGAAGTGGCAAGCCTTCTCGAATCAAATTTTATCGACGATCAAGAGGTCAAAATCAAGGAAGAACCCTTAGAGGAAAAGACTGGCGTCGACCAAGATATTCCTCTTTATGATCCGGCTTTTCTCCCAGATCTTGAGAGCCAAGCTATGATGTATCGTTCCAATTCACCAGCTCTGTCCATTCGATTACGAAGACCTGAAAGACCTGCGTCTGAGATGTATGCATTCACGACAGCTGGTGTAGCCGCCTTGACCAATAACCGGCTTTTACAGGAGCGGCTCAACAGGTTATTGTCTATGCCTCACTCAGAAGATGAGTTCCCTGATGATGAGTTGTCTCATACTTCGGAATCTCAATTGAATGGGCTCGTTCACAACCCTGGCTATAGCCAACCTAAACTTACCTATTCAGAGACTCTTTATCAGCAACTTGAGTCTTACCCACCTCACATGTCTGGTTATCCTCAGGATTCATTTTCGCCAGAGCATTCTGATCAGTTGGATGGATCTTTTGATCCGCAGTTTCCACAAACACCTTCCGTTGATGATCTAGATGACACAATCGTAGTCGACTCGACTATGTACAACTCCAGGGTTCCTTCCGAAGACTTCTCTGCCAGTCCGACCCCTACTCCACAAGAAGTTTTACTTGAGAACCGAGCACCCTCTACACCTCGTGCAGGTCCTAAAACAAGACGCCAGTCTGCCACGTCTAGGGCCAACAAAACTAGTGCTGCAGGTCGAAGAAATCGTGCCAGACGTGCAGAGGATTTTGCTCCTCCCCCTGGTGCGATGACTGCTGCCGATGTCATCGCGGTCCACGAGAACAATATCCGTCGTAGAAACAAGCGGTACAAGAGGGCCGGCATTAAACACCCACCCCTCGACGACATCGAACAGGACGTTGTTGACACACTTAACGAACTTGGTGTCCCGATCGATGTCAACGATATGTACCTCCAGCAGGTATATTCGAATAGAGATACGACGCTCGACGGAAGTCTGAACGAGTCCGCAGACAGCACGATCGATACTATGGATACTGATGAAACAGTAGTACCACTTCCTCCTAGTCTCCCTGAGGAACCTGATTTTCCAACAAGTGCTCGCTGGCGAGACCGTGGGCCTGATGGTCAAGCAAGAGCAAGATGGGGATCTGCTCGATGGCGGGCAAAGGGAAAGGTACGAAAAACGCAAGCCTGGAAAGATGCAACTCAAGATGAAAGAGAGGCAATGGAGATTGCTGCAGCAGATGCTCTTGTGTTCATGTAAGTTTTCTATTCAATCTTGAGTCAGATATCAATACTGACCAAACCATAGTGCAGACCCTATTCCAGTCGGACCTGTACCACTACAATCTCATGCACCATGGTTGCGATCAGAAAGAGCCATTCTCCTGCAAGAAGTGACCGACAACAATAAAAGGATCCAGACCACAGGCAATAGGTTAGATACAGTGGCTGAAGCTTACAATCGACGCATGCTTTCCAGAACACAGAAAGCAGGAGAGCTTTGTATTGCTACTGGTAACGGTGAATCTCGAAAGAATTCACGGTTAACAAAAGACCGTACTCCACCACATAGGACAGAAGAGACGATCATGTCGAATTTGAAAAAGTGGTCGGATCTGGGGGATACCTGTCTGTGCAGGCAACATCAGCGGTATCTTGTCGGTGATTTCGAACGAAGTGGAGATTTTCCTCATGGCCACGGAGTTGAGGTATGTATACCCAAGGACCGCAAGGATGATGCTTGCCATTGTGATGATCACCTTCGAGATTTCAATGGGGAGTTTCCGCCGGGACACACAAAAACCCGTTGTAGTCACCTTCTCATTCGATCCAACAAGTGATTGAATCCGCTTGTCAAGGACGTATAAGAAGCCTTTTTGCTGCTTGTGTGTCACAGACTTGGCAAAATTGTTCTGTTCTCGTTTGTTCGGTGTTTGAGCTTGAACATTGCGGTGATCTGTTTGTATTGACACTCACTTTTATTTGATGGATGGATGGAGGAAACTATAGAGATGCGTGGTAGCGATACTTAGTGTCGTGGTCTTAGTCTTGATTGTAATGAGCAATAGCATTGATGCTTCCTTCAGTTTCCAGAAGGGTTCTTCAAAGGACCTCGGTGTACATACCAGTGATGATAACTCGCGAAGTCCTTGTTCTGTCGGTTTGAGGTAGCAGCTTGCTTCTTGGAGGAGAGTTCCACGTAACACTAGTTCACAGAATTCGTTTATTTTATTGATGACTGTGCACCTTGAGATCAGTGACCTTTGCGTGAAATATACTCCATCTGCGTTCGGCAACTGTCTGGTGAGATTATGGCTAGCGCACCCGCCACAGAAGATCACGTTTCCGCTCTTGAAACCTTTTATGTTCACTATTGAAGATATTTCTACCACCAATGAATTCATGCGCAACAAAGCTGATTTTGAAGAAGCTTTGAGTCGTTCCTAATGATTATGTTGTGAAGTCACAATGAAGTGAGGTTAGAATTTGGCGCCACGAAACGGAGCTCTGATAAAGTTAGCCGCGCGAATGTCGAAGTCTAGGGTCTAATAAGATTACAGGCTTAAATTTCAAATGCGGACAGTAACAGGGCATCAAAGTATGATATCAGCCCTTGACAAATCCAAAAATTATTTCGGAATAATTCTCACGAGGCTCAAAACGCCGGACTCATTGTCTTATTCGAACTTTCCGACTGTACATTTTCGAGAGCGACTACCACGAGATCTTTACACCCTTTCCAAACCACTCCAAGCGTGCTTCTCTCAATGCTGCTAATCTCTTTTTCTGCTTCTTCTTCATTCATACCTTCAGGGCCAAAAGCTTCATGGCGAAATAAAGAATGAATGGGTGACAGTAATTGAAGTTAAGAGATGGATCTTGACGCACTGATTTATTGGTGCTGTTGCCCAGGTTCTTTGCATTCCCATAATTCGATCTTATCACAGAACCTTCTCAGTAATTTTCCTTTTCTCCGACTCTTTCGCTGTACTTCTTTCTACATACCTAGATATCCTCATTTAAAAATGGTCCCTGGTAGAAGCGGTCTCGTATGGATGAATCTTGTTATACAAATTCAATTGATGAAGACACTTTATTTGATTAGTGGTACCCTCTACGTAGGAGAAAAAAGAGGCCAAAATTGATCACCTTAATAAAGTCTATAATAAATCAACTATCAATGGAATCTTAAAAGTTGATAACATTTAATGAATAGTCTTTAATCATAGTATTATTTAAATATTTAATTCTCTGAACTGAAATGAACCAATTGGATTATCGTAGGGCTTTGTTAGTGGTCAATTCCGGCCTGGATGTTCTCCTATAGAGATACCACCTAGTAATTTACACCAAATTCCGGCCCCCAAAAGTTCGTACACAAGAAGTATATAAGACTCCTCCCAGTCTTCTCGGCCAGTATACCATACTCAGCAAAACAAGAACTTATCTTTCCATGATGTGCGGATGTAGCGGCTCAAGCTCTTTTTCTAGCTCCAGATCTTTCTTGGCCAGTGATTAAGCGCTTGCTTGATCTTTCTTGCACATGGCGGAGATTGTCTGAAAATTGGTTGGAGTAGTTACTGTTGTTGCTGGAAAAGAACCGTCATCAATTTCTTTCACTACTAATTACAATCCTGTCCGCTTCGCTGTCAATTCCTGAGTTATGAACAAAATATCCTGTAGTTCTCATATCATCCTCTGCAATATTCGCGCAACCAGAAATATCTGGAACAATTCAACAACGATCAGAAATCCACGAGTGGGTACATATCCCTTTTACAAATCAAATTACGAAGTGCTAAAGCATATATTCTGATGAGTAGACAAGTATCAAGAATGATGGTTCCAAGTAGCAGTTTCCACATCTATTATATAGAGCAATAACCAGGAGTCTCTAGATCATATGATCCGAAAAGATCACATCGCCTTGACCGCTGGATTGCTCACTCCCTGACTCTGCAGCTCCATCGTCATATTCGTCATTTTTTTTCTCTTGACAAAAGATATAAATATCCCTAGGATATTTAGTTCAAATCAATAGCCCATTGAAGAACAGATCGCCAATGACCCAGGAGTGTTGAGACTATTGACTTTCTACACTTCTGAATATCTAGTTGGTTCCAGATGTGAGAAATCTCGCTGTGAGCGTGAGTGTGGCTTCAAAGATTCTGTCGTTCTTGTTCGCCGGCAAGCTGATCGCCGTCAATTTTGAGATAACTTCCTGTCAAGAAGATACCAGTCATTGCTGTTTTTCTGATTATCGTTGTCCTACTCTTTTCCTTTCATCTCTTCCTACCTCTTCTCTCCTCGTCCCCAGTCCACTAGTTCTTTCACTATAAACTATCAGAGTATCAGAGAGGCCTCGGAGTATACAAACGCTCCAGTGATCCAGAGCCTTTATTCTATCAACTCTTGCGCTGAGCAAACATCTGCAAGAGTAAGATTGTCCCACCAAGTTAGTTTATATAGAAATCTGAATTATCTCTTTCTACAAAGCTCACTTCGAATCAATAAGAAGTGCGCATGGTAACAAATATCAGACTGTCAGACTGTTAAGACAACAAGGAACCACTTCCGAGAAAGTCAGAGGGATATAAAAGCAGTCAAAAGACTCCTCGTAACCAGCAATTCTCCAAGCTAATCCCAAGAGCCAGACCAACAGAATTCTTGAAGTGAACAAACAGATCTTCAGGAATACAATTTCCATAACTCACAGGTCCTTCTTTATAGTTTTAAAGCGTGGGAACTTGTATCAAGTTGCGTTATTGTCGTACAATGACACTTTCGCTGCCAAAACCCAAGAGTAATTGTCGGGATATTGATCATGTGATCATACAGAAGGAGCCGTATTGACTAGCGCAGGCGCTAGCTCCGACCTATAAATGTACATAGCTTTACATAGTAAACGGATCGAGGACAATTACAACCATAATAGACTAATAAAGTACTTTACACTTATCAACCAAGTTGATACCAACAGTAACATTATCGAGAAATCAACAACAAAACGGGCACATAAAGCTGAAGATAAATATCTTATGCAAAAAGCGACCACAATTCGTGCTGCAGAAGTAGGAGCTTATCATATGCTAACACTGGAGAATCTAATATTATATCGACTGAAATTCCCACAATAGGGAAACCTGGTACATCTTGGCGGCGAACGTGGGGTTGTAGAGATGGAAAGGAAAAATTGCTCTTGGGTGCGAGATTTTATATAGACTAACACAGTATATAGATACTCTAGATATAATTGGCACGATCCATGACAATATGAATAATGTAGGGAATTATACATCTCCTCTCCTTTCCCCCCCTCGACATCTACCAATTAATCTTTCAAAAATCCCCCGAATCTATCGAAACCCACAGAGATCCAACATGCAAACATATCTATCCTCCCAGTATTCTCAAACTACTCCTTTACTCCAAACTCGGCAAAACTACATCAAATCTCAGTACATACCTACAACTTTCCATCGAAACCCCCCAAACTACGCTCATTTTCCTCACAGCACAGACGGAGTAGAAGCAAAAAGCAAGGCTTGAATTGAGTGATTTTGATAGATCTCCCTTTCTTATTCGTCTTTTGCTAGATAACATGAAGGACTGGAGATCTTCCGCTGTTGGATAAGGGGGGTTCTCATCTTTAGTGTATGTTACCATTGCCGTTCCTATTTTTATCACTACGCATCCACGATTGATATCATCCAATCTCTCCCACCAACCCCAAACCCGCGTCATGCACAAACATGAAGCACATCAAGCACTCGCTCCAGACACAAACCATACCCCCTTTACAATTCACGCGCTTGGGAATTTGAAGATTCGGTTCTTTCACATCCTATGTGTTTATTACTCTCACCTGTTCTCCTTCCATCCATCGAGTCATATTTTATCGTTCTCATTCTCATTCTCATTCTTTGATTCAAATCACACATATATAATACCACTCACATATATCATTTACACAAAAATCAAATTCCTAGCTGCATCTCTAACCCCATCTCGAGACCTACTTTCATTTTTGTTTTCATTCCCATCTTTCTTTTTACAAGCCTTCTTCATCTCCACCCCTCTCCCTCCCCTTCCCTTTCACCACCACCAAGTACATACATACCCCACAACCCCTCCCTCTCCCAAAATATATATATAAATAAACCTCCAAGATCATTCCTCTTTCCCCTTTGCCTCCCTCCCCTCACCATCTCGCCTCACCTAAAAAATCCAATGCTCTCTCATTCTCCTTTTCCAACTAGCCTCTAATTCCTCAAGACGACCGCCTCCAAGTTTCCCCCCGCAAATCCAAACCACACATGCCATGACATTCCCACCACCACCCTCTGAAATCCCATGTGATCAAGATCTCCCAATCTAAATCTAAATCTTCCTCCGAATTCTAACTTCCTCCCAAACAAACATATTCCATTTCCCTCCAAACAAGTTAATCACTCGTTCTATCATCTCCCTCATCTCAATTCCTATCCTTCTCTCATCTCACCACTCCACTTCACTCCAATTTTTTTCAAACCCAGAAAAATCTCTCTCGTATTCCCTATCCCTTTTCATCTCCAAATCCAAATGCCAAACATGACCATCACATATCTATATACACATAACCCCCGGAGAGATTCAGTCCCGTGCAATCAGTCAGTCATGTTTTAGTATATATCATCCGATCTGATCTAATTCAATATAATCCAATCCAATCTGGTGATGGTTAGATGGAGAGATTGTGTGCTGTACTATGCTGTGGATATTATCGGGAGGTGATTTGAGGTTGGAATCGAGCGATGGAAATGGAGATGTGATGGGGTGAAGAGGGGGTGAAAAGGGTGAG